TAAATAAATAAAATCTTAAAAAAAAAAGAAAAGAAAAAGAACAAGACCGGGCACTGTTAAAAGACTGCATGTGCCCCTCCTTGTGATCCCTTCTCTTTTCCAGATGAAACCACTAATCTGTGCTAATAATTTCCTTTTCCTCATAATTATCCTGTGTGTATATATTCCCAAACAATCTATTGTTGAGTGTTACCTGTTTGTGAATGTAAACATGTAAATGGAAACATATGGTATATTCTGATTTTGCTCCTTTCACTCAGTTTTACGGTTCTGAGGTTTGTCCCCTGGATGGATGTGACTACAGCTCATTCCTTCCCTCTACTCTCTTGTGTTTGGTATGAATACGACTACACCTTCGTTCGTCCGGCTTGTCCTTGTAGCTGGTGCTCATGAGCAAGAGATTCTCCAGGCCCCGTAGGCGGGAGTGGAATTGTTAGGACATACGGTGTACGGTACCTTTTCAAGTTCACTAGGTAACAACAGCCGGTGGTAATCTTACCAATTTAAACTTCCACCAAGAGTGGTTGAGAGAGATCACTTGTGAGTGCTTTGCTGTGAAATGGCCTTGCATATGTTTGACCCATGAAAAGAAATGAATGCACAGATGTTCTTTCTATAGCATGGATAGCAAGGGCTTACTGGTTTTGTGTATCATAAATATGTCTTCTCAGTTTGAAGTCGGCTTTCTTTTTTTAAAGATTTATTTATTTGACACACACAGAGAGAGAGAACAAGCAAGGGGAGCAGCAGGCAGAGGGAAAAGCAGGCTCCCCACAGAGCAGGGAGCCTGACGTGGGGCTTGATCCCAGGACTCTGGGATCATGACCTGAGCTGAAGGCAGACACTTACCAACTGAGCCACCCAGGTGCCCCTGAAGTTGGTTTTCTATTCTCTGTTAAGGATTTTTTAAAAAATATTTTATTTATTTATTTGACCGAGGGAGAGAGAGATCACAGAAAGGCAGGCAGAGAGAGAGGGGAAAGGAGGCTCCCCGCTGAGCAGAGAGCCCGATGCGGGGCTCGATCCCAGGACCCTGAGATCATGACCTGAGCCAAAGGCAGAGGCTTAACCCACTGAGCCACCCAGGCGCCCTCTGTCAAGGATTTTAAGAACAGAAGTTCTTAAAATTTAGTTTAGTTTTGTTGGTTGTATCCATTTTGCCCTTTATGGGAAGGGCGTGTTCTTTTTATGTTCTTTTTTATTTTATGTCTTATTTACAAAAATTATTCCCTATCCCAACGTCAGGAAATATTCTCTATGTTGTCTTCCAAGTGTGTTACAGTTTTGCCTTTTACATGTGAGCATTTTAATCTACCTGAAATTGATTTTTATATCAAAAGCAAAAGGGATTTCATTCCATTTTTTCTCATCTCCATCTACAGTCGTTCCAGAAACATATACTGAATAGCCGGTCTACTTCACAGTGATCTGTTGGGCCAAAGTCTGCAAAAAATGAAGAGCCCAATATGCTTGGGTTCGTTTCTGCACTCGATTTGTCTATCTGTGCCAATACTATAGTGTCTTTGTTACTATAGCTTTATAATATGTTTTAATGGATTCTGTAGGAAGTCTTTCCAATCTGATCTCAGGATTATTTTGACTCTTAGGATGTATGGTTGTTTGTGTTCTTTTTTTTTTTTTTTTGTATACATGTTTATCAGCTTGTGAAATTTTGTGGAACTGTTAGGCTTTTGAAGGCAGTCACCTTGCATCTCTGCGTCTGTTTGGGTAGCCGAAGAGTCAGTACAGGAAGCTAAACCGGGAGAACATCCAAGACAAGAAGATCTTCAAAGCAACCGGGGGTAAGAAAAGATCACCTGCTAAAGAACAGTGAATAGACTAGTTGATTACCTTTGAACAGGACAAATGGAAACCGGAAGACTGTGGGAGAATGTTTCCAATGTGTTGACAGTAAAACAATAACCAACCTGGAATGGATATCCAGTTAAACTCTTTTAAGAATGAAAGCAAATTAGGGGTGCCTGGGTGGTGTGGTTGGTTAAGCCTTGGGCTCTCGGTTTTGGCTCAAGTCATGATCTCGGGATCATGAAATCAAGCCCCACTTTGGGCTCCATACTCAGCACGGAGTCTGCTTCAGATTCTGTCTCCTTCTTCCTACCCCTACCGCTTGTGCTCTTTCTCTGCTTCCCGCCAAACAAATAAATAAATCTTAAAAAAAAAAAAATGGCATGAGGGGCACCTGGGTGGCTCCGTCGGTTCAGTGTCTGCCTTTGGCTTAGGTCGAGATCCCAGGGTCCTGGGATTGAGTCCTGCCTCAAGCTCCCTGCTCATAGGGGAGCCTGCTTCTCCCTCCACCTGCTGCTGCCCCTGCTGTGCTCTCTCTTGTTCTTTCTCTGACAAACAAACAAACAAACAAATAAACAGAATGAAAACAAAAGAAAAACTTGCAAACAAATAAGAACAGAGAACGTCACTAAAGGAAAGTTTCAAAAGATCTACTTCAAGCACAAGGAAAATGACCCTAGATTCTAGGCATATTCTCCTAGCGGGGGGGGGCAGATCAGGAATTGGGCTGGAGAGAACCCCTCAGGGGGTAAAATTTGCTTACCGTTGAGGTGTCTGGCTTTTACTCCTTTTTGGGATCTGTAGATTTTTACTCTCATGCCAACTCAGTGGTACCTTTTAAAAGTCATTATAGATACGTTCCCAACATTTTCGTTGTTTCACGTGGGCAGGATTGTTTGGGCTTGTAAACCCCTCACCTGCAGGAGATAAAATTCCTCCAACAGATCTTCTTCTAGAAGATTCTCCCTGTCTCCTCAGTCTGTATGGAGTCAGTGGTACCTGTCCTCATGGCACACTGGAACACACACACCTGTGATATTTTTACAATTATTTGCAAAATAATTGTACTTATTTAACTGTACTTATTTAACTTACCCCATTAGAAACCTCAGGGCCAGGTCTGTATTGTTCTGTATTTTATTCCCACACCTTAGCAAGTGCCTGGCACATAGCAGAAATTCGGTAGACATTTACTGAGTAAATGATACATGAATAATTAATTTTGAGTGAGAAGCCAATATTAGGTATTAAGGCAAGCACAGCTATGTGTCTCTGAGAGGCACTGCTCTGGGTTGGTGAATTCCCAAAGAACTGTGCTGTGTAATGTGATAGCCATTAGCCACATGCGGCTATTTAAATTATTGAAATTAATTAAAATTAAATAAAAGAAGACATTCCACCCCTCAGTCACACTGGCCACATTTCAAGTGGCTAGTGGCTATCCTATTGGGCAGTGCAGACATAGAACTTTTCCATTATCATAGAAAGTTCTATTGGAAGGGCTGCCATAGAGTTCACAAGAGTTCTGAAGAACTCTTCTCTCTTCCTCTCTCTTTCTCTTTTGCTCTTGCTCTCGATCTTTCTCTCTCTCTCTCCCCACCCCTACACCAAAAAGACAGGGATAGTTGTCTTATTATTAGTGACTTAAGTGATGCTTTTGAACAAGAAGATGCTGGGTACTTTTGGTGACTAGTACCATCCCACTTTTTTTCTTCTAAATTCCCAAGCTATTGTTTACTAGAACACTCTTTTATACTTGTTTCTACTAAAACTGAATGTTACTTGGATGGAAAGCCTAATTGCTTTCTTTTCTAGGTCCTGAAACCCTTTGCTAATGTTTCTGTCTGAGAGTTCCTGAAGTCAGGGTTCTAGGAGAGTTTGGCATGTCTGAACAGCTGAACCCCGAAATAATGGAGTAGGTCAGGTGGGGTGTGGGAGCAGGGCATCCTGTCAGTGAAAGAGCTCCCTTTTCCACACACATGGCTGGTTAATTAGTCATTCTGGAAAAGGATGGATGGGGAGGGGGGCTTCTGAGAATCGCCAGTGACAGTTAAGTGGCCTTTTGTTGATGTCCTCTGCTGAACAACTTTGTTGGATTTTAGTCTCTGTTTTTCCTCGGCCTCCTGTGGATTTTCTGTTAGATTCATTTACCATTCAGGCATCATCTTTCACTCTCCCCTTCCAATATGACTGCTTTGTGTGCTGGCCTCGACTTTATTCCCTCTCTTCCCGGACCATAAAGGGGGCTGTGTGGGGCTTCGGCAGGACTGAGAAATTGACTCTGCCGTCTGTCGAGAACCATAATGATTGCAGTGACCTTGGTGTCTAGCAGAAAATGCACTACCTGTGCCGGCCTAGCGGCGACCGGCTGAAAACAGAGGAAAGGGAGTCTTTCCTGAATTCCTTCTCATGCTATGTACCTATTTGCTTGGTTCCCCTCTCCGTTCCCTTCTGTCCCCCTCCTCCCCACTGCCATTGGAGCCCTGACCTAAGGTGCAGCTGTGACTAAGCGTTAATGCTTGGAAATAATGATACATTCTATTTTGCAGGTCTGGCCAAGCCAGTTCACCCAAGCTGTCTCATCTAATACCCCTCCAGACCCCTGTGAGGTAGGGAGGGGAGGTATTATTAACCCCATTTTCCTGATGAGCAAACTGAGATTTAGAGAGATTAGGGCAGTTGCCCTCGGTCTTTTAGACAGGAAGTGAGCACGTGGTCTCTGTCTCTAAACCCAGCCTTCTTTCCATGGCGTCCACACCCTTATGTGTGAGGAGGACGTGGCCCGGGGGAAGTGTGAGTGGATGGGGAGGGCAAAGGAGAGCCAAAAAGAAAAGAGTTCAACGAGGAGGGAGGAAAGGGACTCTAGCTGTTCTCATCTTTCTGCGGAGATGGAGGATTTGATGTTCCCCAGAGGCTGGCCCAGCAAACCTCCAGGGAGGAAAGAAAGCCAAGAGCCTTGTCTTCCTCTTTCCCTCTTTCCTCTTCCCAGGAGGGGGTTTGCCTAGCAGTGGGGAGGGGTGGCCCCAGCTCTCCCCAGGCCCTGCGTGTGGGAGTCACATACTGGGTCTCCCCAGAGAGAACCTAATGCCTGTTCTCAGGCCGGGCCTACCGGCCTTTAGGTGCTGCATTGCCTTGAGGCCTGGGCCATGCCTGCACACGAGGAAGGCCCCTGAAGCTCTCCTGAGGGAAGAAGCATGCAGGGCGCCCCTGGAGGAGGCCCGGGCCCTGGCCCATCCCCTGTGGACAGGTGGACGCTCGTGGTCTTCAGCTTTATTATGGCAACGGTTTTGGGCCAAATGAATTTCACAGGGTGAGTGGTTGCTCCACTGGGTGTGTGTGTGTGTGTGTGTGTATGTGGCAGCTGTTGAGAGCTTGGGGACCAGGTGTGTGTGTGTGGGGAGGGAGGTGACTGCCCCACTGGGACCTGGCCAAGGCGGAGGGAGTCGGGACCTCGGTTCCCATTCAGGTCGGTCATCTCCCATGCCTGTGCTCAAGGGTGGGACAAGCGGCTGTATTATTGTCCCTCCCACATGAGTTCTTCATCTGCGGCCCATGGGGAAGCCTGAACCCCCTGATTCTTGGTTATAGGTGAAGTTGTTGGCATATCTACTTTTTTTTTTCCTGGGGTGGGGGGGAAGTTTTATAACTTTTCTCTGGTTCTTAAGGAAGTTAGTAACCGCCAGAAGACTATGTCTCCTTACCCTAGGGACGCAGTATTGTCCTCCTGCGAATAAGGAGAAGCGTTAGTGTCTTACACCAGGCCCTCTAGGGACCTGTTTCTCAGCCTCCCAAAGCTCATGCTGGGTGACTGACTACCCCATGGCATCCCCAGAATGGTGATCAGAGAGGGGGTCAGAGAGGGGCTTCGTCCTCCCCGCTATCAGAGCCAGCCAGGGAGGGAGATGGTGCCCTCCCAGATGGCAGACCCCGGAGGCCACAGGCAGGCTGCTGTCGCACCGCCTCACAGCCCGTCCAGCGGGATGGGAAGGGGCTCAGCTTCCTCCCATAAGGTAGTGTCAGGCTGACCCCCCATTCTGTGTCCTCAAGCTCTTGAGAGAAGGCCAGAGAGGGCCCAGGGTTTGGGCAGACCACGGCCCTGGGCCCTTGTGTGAAGAGCCCTTGGGGCCACAGTTGGTCTCCCCTGCCCCCCTGGATCTATTCCTTCCTCCCCTTCATTCCTTTTGTTCTCCATCCTCCTCCATTCCCCTGTAGTGCCTTTCCTGCTCTTCCTCCCCCTGTCTTGGCGCTGGGTTCATCAGTCGCTCTTCCAGGCTTTATGTAGTCTCTTAGGTAGCCTGTCCTCAGGCTGGAGTGGCCTCTATCCCAGGATGAAGGACTCATGTGCTTCCCAGAGCTACGTGTCCTTCTTCTCTGGGTCCTCTAGCCTCCAGCCTTTCCGCCAGGGGCCCTCGGCCTGGTGTCTTCTCACGCAGCCTCCTCTAAGCAGCCCAGCCTTCCAGGAGGCCCTCTCCGCAGCTCCCTCTGTCTTCCCTCTGTCTTTCCAGAGACCAGGTTCTTCGAGTCCTGGCTAAAAATGAGAAGCAGCTTTCAGTTCTCAGGGATCTGGATGGCCTGAAGTCCCAGAAGGTGAGGACTCCTCAGGGCTGAGGAACACGTTCTGCACTCTCTCAGAGTGGCTTTGCCCCTTCAGCCCCCTCTCCTGCTCCCCGCACCCCAAGCCTGCCCGCCAGACAGCTCCGCCAAAGAGCACAACACTGTGGAAAATCAAATTCTCTTCAGAAAAGGTTGGGAACACTCGCCCAGAAGGTTGGGTGGTCCTTCTTGGCTTTCTCCTCTGTCCTAGATGGGGGGCTGTAGGGCAGACCCGTCGGGGGCCACTTTGCAAGAGACTGGAACGTCCTGAAGCCACAGAGGAAGCATATAGGTCCCTGGGTGGGCTGCCATGCCAAGTGTAGCCCGGACACATCCGTTTCCCAACTGAAATGGCTTTAGCTTGGCAAACTTGTGTTTTATTTGGGTTCGTCCCTGTCAGGCTGAGCATTTGTTTCCGAGAATATTGTCCTCTGCAAGTACTCCACCATGGAAAACATTTTCTTCAACCGTTAGGTTAGAAGGGTTATGTTGGAGGCTTCTTGAAACAACCAGATATTTCTGGGGGTGGCCCGGAGCCCTTGTCCCTATTTGTTTGCGTACCTCTCTCTCCCCCGGGACTTTATAACAGCTCTCTCTGTTTTACAAATTGGGAAAGAGACGTCGCATTCAAATGACGTGGGAATCCAGATTGGGTGCTCCCCACCTCTCCAGGACTTAGGGGCAGTGAGGCCTTCCTCTTCTGACCAGGGTTCTTGTCCACGTTCATGTCCCACACAACGAGCTGTCTCGCTCTTGGCAACTGTGTTGGGCTCTTGGGGTTCAGGTGAAGTTGCAGTGTGTGGGTGAGGCTGAGAGAGGAGGGGGTGCTGGGAATTACAGAGGGAAGCTCAGTGCGGGGGTTTTGTTTGTTTGCTCCCCTCTTTCCGCTAGGCCTTAGGGTTTTCATTTTGGAACTGGGGCCCTTTTAACTGTGTAAGAGAAGGTGATCTCCTGGCTACTTTAGGTGCCTACCGAATCGTGAATAAGGATGTGTGAGAAACATGTCTGTTCTCCTTTCCTCTCTTTTCCTTTGTGACCAAGGTGGACTTCTGGCGTAGCCCAGCCAAGCCCAGCCTCCCTGTGGATATGAGAGTTCCTTTCTCAGAACTGAAAGACATCAAAGCTTACCTGGAGTCTCATGGCCTTGCCTACAGCATCATGATAAAGGACATCCAGGTGAGGTCCTGCCCCAGGGCTGCGGCTAGGGGCCCACCTTCTACATGGCTGTCTGGTTTGGGCCCGACGAGGAGGAAAACAAGCCGGGGCTAACAGTGGACATCTTGTTTCTAGAGTTCCATCTGCGTTCTTGTGAACTGGCTGTGAAAGGAATGAAATCTCACACTTGTCAGAGAATATTTAAATCTAGGACAAAGTCCACGGGCGGGGCGGGGAGGGGGTTCTCCTGGTGTGGGAATGGCAGTCACTTGCCGGTTAGTCCTCTTGGGGAGGAATTAGCCGCTCGCAGCTGAGGAGGAGAGTGGAGGGGGTCGGGCAGGAAGGAGGAAGTAGCTGAAGTCTTTCCTAGACATGAGGAGAAGGCAGCACTGGATGGCTCCCTTGGCTTTTCTGACCGCCCCTCTTGTTCTGGTGGTGTCTCAGCCATCCAATACCAGAGAGTCCCTTCACTCCAGACAAGAGGGAAGAGGTGAATGAGAGTAACTGTGGGCCCGCTGTGGCCTCCCTCTCAACACCCGTACCACAAGGCTCTCAGTCCTGGACACCTCTCCCAAGCAGGGTGCTCCCAGGGGAGCCGCAGACCCGGCCTCAGGGAGGGTAGAGGGAGCCTTCCTCGGGGCCATGCCAACTCCCGACCCGCACCGCTCCGCACACCTGACAGTGTCTTCTGGACATCATGACATTTTGTTTCCACTGTTCTGTCTTCAAGGCTCTCCCAGGGAGCCTCCTTCCTCAAGCAGATCTTGTGGGTACCACGTGCTGGTTAAGCCTCCCCGGCTGCCCCCCCTGCCGTTGGGTACCTGTAGGAGCGTAGCCATCTAGATTCTCCCCCGGCCCCGCTGTGCCGCAGCTACTCTCTGAGGGCTCTGAGTGTGGGAAAACAGTCTCCCCGGCACACACACTTGACACCGGTGCCGAGGGATAAGCGCATTGGGGGCATTCCTTTCCCATGCGAGCCTGGGGCTGGGTCCCTTAGGTCCGTTCAGAGACCTTGGTCCCCCCACGTGCTCGCTGCTCAGCGTGCAGGACTGGGCTCTTTCTCTGACTAATTTCCCACAAACCAAAATGGGGACACTCCCACAGACAAGACAGGGTACCACATCGAAAGAAACAGCACTCAATTCTCATTTTTAGCCCAAGCCTGAATTTTGAAGTTTGCATTTCCCTGCTTCTGCTGGGCCCTGGAAACCGCCGCAGCATTTGGCAAGCAGATATGAAGAGGTCTCTCCAAATTTTCTGTTGATTTCTGCACATCAGGAATGGCCCCAGAGGCACTCTGAGCCTGTCCACAGGCTCCTTTGGAGCTGTCATCCTTGTTCTCCTCAGCCTGTCCTCTCTTGTGCTCCCCTGGTCTGGAATCCCTGGGGGGTGGGGGGTCGGGTCTTAGTGAGATGCCCCGGACTCCCAGCCTTCACCCAGCCAGGCGGGATTTTCACCAACGACTCGCTCTGTCTGTGCTGCATCAAGCTCTGATTGTCACACTTAAGATCCCATTTTGGCTTCGAGGGAGCCGGGGGTGGGGGGCGCGGGGGGGCGGGTAGCTTTGGGATGGGGGAGGCTGCTGTGTTGAGTTTGATTTGTGGTGATGAGGGGGAGGGCGTCCAGGAGGAGAAAAGCTCAGAGGTGCTAACGGGAGGGGAAGGCTTTGCACCACTCAGGTTGCTGGCTTCCAGCCTCGTGTTTCAGTGATTGGCTCACAGGCCGAATTTCTTCCAAATCTTCCAGATCTTCTCAGCCGCAGTGTCTGGCCTAGTGTCCCTTGCACGGTGGGCCTTCAACTGTCGCAACAGTTACTCTGTTGGTAGGTTCAGAAAGAGCTATGCCAGACAGAGACCTTGCTATTATGTTGGTCTTTGTCTCCAGAGCCCCCCAACCCCCGAGCCCCTCAAGGTCCAGGATCATGCCCCTCGTCTATCTTTATACCCTAGCGCCTGCTGTTGTACCTGCCACTCGGCTGGGGCTTAATAAATGTTAGATGAACTAACAGATTCGAGAAAAGGAAAGAAGTGCAGTTGTGCTTGCTGGATAGCACCAGGCTGAGAGGGACAGGGAAAAACCTAGGTATGGGCTTTTGCTTTGGCCAACAGCGCTGGAGATTTTTGAAGAAGGGAAAGAGGCCCTCCATCCCCCCAACCCACCCCCTGCCTCTGAGCTGTGATCAGGGGGCTGCTTGAGGTAGGAGAGTTGGGTACATTCATTGCACCCACGGATACAGAGACACCTACTGTGTGCAAGGTGCAGGAAATACAAAGATAAGAGCTCTGGTCCTGTATCGATGGGCGCTGGTGTCATGGGGGTGGGTAGCCGAGGGGAGTAAATCAGTGATTACAATGGAGTGGATGAGTGTGCTGATGGAGTGCAGCAGGTTGCTATGGGAGCGAGGACAAGAGTCTGGGCTCTCAGAAGGCAGTAATTACGGTGCGGGTGCTGTGCGGCTGAAGAGCAGGCGAGGGGGGACCGGCAGGGGAGGGGGGCCCCCGATTGGCGATGAGGCCCAACCAGATCACAAAGGGCATCCTCTGCTAGGTGAAGAGGTTGAGATTTTATCCTGAAAATCGAAAATCGTGGGGGAGCCATTGGAGGGCTCTGACACGATCAGATTTGCATTTAAGAGAAATCCCTCCGACAGTGCCAATGTTGAGTTGGGGACAGGAGCTGGGAGAGACTGACAGGAAGGAGGGCGCTGAGGAAATTGCAGTGGGCCAGGCAAGAAATTATCTGATTCCGAGTGAGCTCTATTTGCATTTAATTTTTCTTCACCTCCCCCTTTTTTTCAGCCCTTTGGTTTGGTGTAGTTTTTTTTTTTTTTCTCTAGGATGAGTCACCATGGAAAAGCTTCACTTGAGCAATCAGCTCTGTGGATTTTAATGGCTTTTTTCTGATTACAAAATTAATAAATATTCATGTTAGATAATTTGGAAAATAGGGGAAAGCACAAAGGAGAAAACAAAAACCGCCAGTTCTCTGAGCATCTAGAGCAAAACACAATTTAGCGTAAATATTGCTTTGCCAATCCCCCCCCCCCAAACCGGATCATTCTCATTAGCATACAAATATAGAGTTATTTCTTTTGTCCTAAAAAAATCCACTCTTGATCCTTCCTTTCCACCCACCTCCAGCTATCACCCCATTTCTTTGCTTCCCCATACAGCAAAACTCCTGGAAATATGGACTATACTTGCCATCTCCATCCTTCTCTTTGGGTGGACTGTCCACCCCTCAGGTTACCAAAACTGTATTGTCACCAAAACGGTGTCCTCGCCCACAGCATCTAGGTTCAACTCAGGGGTCAACTTTGAGTGCCCATTGTTCTTTCAACTTTCAACACAACTGGTCACTCTCTCCTCTTTTGGGTACTGCACTCTCCTGGATTATCCCGTCTTACTGGCAGCTCCCCTGCACACTGTTTTCCTAGTTCCCAGCTCTGTCCTTTGACCTCTCCTCTATCCCTTCATCCAGGGTCATGGTGTTGAATACCTTCAGCTTCCTGAATATTCCCATACTTACAGCTCCAACCAGACTCCTACATCCAACCTGAACTCCAGACTCCTATATGCTACCACCTCCTGCCTAATGGCCATCTTGAACTTCACTGTTCCAAAGTGAATACCATCTCCCACCCAACCCACTCCTCCACAGCCTTCTCCATCTCAGGAAATGGCAATACCATCCTTCTGCTCACTCAGACAAGAAGCCTGGAGTCATCCTTGACTCCTTTCTTCCATCCCACTCTCATTTCGTCAGTAAATCCCATCAGCTCTCCCTCTAAACTGTATTTTACCATTCTAGGTTGCCACCCAGGGCCAGCACACCGTTGGCCCCACACCTGGATTATTCCAAGAGTTTTCTACTTCTCTTCCCAACTCCACCCTTGCCTCCTTGTTGCCTGTCTCAAAACAGGTCTTTTAACTTCATTAGTATTATATATTATATTCAGTTATGTCACTTCTCTGCCTAAAACCCCTAATGACTTCCCAATTCAGAGTAAAAGCCACAGTTATGGTTATAATGTGCCACATGATCTATGCTCCACCCCCACATCACTGACTACTCTCCCCTTGCTCACTCTGCTCCAGATACCTGGACCTCCTTAATGTTCCTTGAACTTGCCTGATCCATTCCTGCCTCAGGGTCCTTGACTAGATTCATACCGCAGGGCCTTTGCACTTCCTAGTTCTTACGACTGGAATGCTGTTTTTGCAGATATCTGCATGACCTCTTCCCTCATTGCTTTAAAAACCTTATTCATAGGTCCCCTTTTCAACTTATTTTAAGTTGTACCCTTCTCCTACATTCTCCAGTTCCCTCCCTTATTCCACTGCACCACTTTTCTCCTCTGCACTCACCACTTTCTAACATCCTATCTAATTTATGTAATTATCCTGTCTCCCCTGCCAGACTGTAAGCTCCATGAAGGCAGGCAGTTTTGTTTCATTGGCTGCCGTACCTAGTACCTAGTGTGTGCTCAACAAACACTCGTTCACTGAAAAGAAGAGATTAAAAAGTGGCCATGACTGTGGCTGGGGTGGGGTTGGGAGGCAGCTCTTCAAAGGAGAGGAGGCTGGACAGGAAGGAGCAGGAGAAGGCAAGGGAGGAAAGGAGAAGTCTTGGGCAAGGGACTGATGGAGAGGCAGAGTCCAGCTGCTCCAAGGGGGCAGGGAGAGAAGGCCTGACCCTTCTGTTGGTCCTGGGAGGAGGGTTGTTGCTGACTGACCGTTAACGGCCATCTGTCATCCAAGTCCTCCAGGTACCACTTCTCTTTGGAGGAATCCAGATTTCCCGGTCATGTCTGTAAATGACTGTTCCATCAGAGTCCTGGAGTCACCCCAAGAGTGACTATTGCCCTGCCATCCTCCTCCGGCTCTCCTCAGAGCTGCATGCTAGGCAACGTTTCAAGTACTTTACACATATTAACCCTTCTGATCCTCATGAGAACAGCTTAAAGACTGTGCTCAAGTGTGTGATAACATGACCCCCATTTTATGAAGGCACAGAGAGATTAATGCTTTGGTAACCTCAGGCACAGAGCGATGAGCGACCTGCTCATCAGTGATGGCGTCAGGATTCAACCTGAGACAGCCTGGCCGTCCTCTCTCTGCCCTTGTGCCATCTGCTTCCTCAGCAGTTGCCATTGTTGTTGGTGTGGGTGGATTTAACTTTGTCTTTTGGGCAGTGGGGCCACCGTTCAGCCTTGACCTCGGAGGGGGTCCATTCCGAGAACCCCCGATCTGTAGTCACCACCGTGGAGATGCGGACTACAGTTGCCCCCACCATGAAGCTGCCTGGAAGAGGCCAGGGGCATATGAGGAGAGGTGACTGCTGTTGTCACAGAACGGGGGTGCCTGGGGGGGTGGGGGGTTGGGGGTGAGATGCTCCTCATTCGCTGTTACCCGGAGCCTCGTCCATTTTGTGTCTGTGGTTGGAGTTCGGCTGCCGAGTGCCGGTTCCCTTCAGGCATCAACTTCACCTTTCCAGGGCCTCCCTCAACCTCTTGCCCTCCTCCATCCTGGAGGTGCTGTTCTCTGCTCGATGTTCCCATCCTTCCTTAACCCTGTCATAAATTAATTCACACCAAGGTATTACTTTCCTTGTCAGGTTATGGCTTCCAGGGAGGCAAATGGCTTACTTCTGAGCTGTTTCTTTTTTTCTGTGAGAAGCCTGACAGGGCTGTAATTAGGCTTCCCTGAGCCTGTGGCAAGACTGCGTTCTTGGTTCTCCTATATCCTTCCCGTGGCACCGGGAAGGGAGCAAACATCTGTGTAGTTTTCAGGCCAGGGGAGATTAGTGTTCTTGGAATTGGGGCCCAGCTGCGAGGGCTGAGCATTCCCAATTTGTAGGCGGGTGTCGTCTCCATTCACAAGCCTGTGAGGGTGTTTGGAAAGTTATTTGCAGTTCGAGGCGATTTCCCATTTGCCCCCAAGCTGTTCTGTGGAACAAAGAACAGCCTCAAGGGAGCTGTGTTCCGGTGGCATCCCTGGGGTCTGTAGAAGAGCCGGGTCCTCTGCTCCTGTCTTCCCAGTTTCTCCTCCCCGTCCTCCATCTTCACCCACTGCCTCAGGCCCTCCACCAATTCCCTAGGCTGTCGGATGTATGGACCCTTCACTCCACTGGGGCCAGAGGGGGGCGTCCGGGTACACCAAGCCAGCCCGCCTGCCCCCCCTGCAGCTGCTCTCCACAGCTGGTCATGCCCGGCCCAGAACGACGGGCACACATCGGTCATGGTGGGCTGCTGAGATTTTCGTTGCTTTCCTGGGAGAAGACAAGTCCCTTTTGTTAGAGCTTCCCAGGGGGGTGCCTGTGCCAGCGAGGACCAAGGCTCGTCCCTCCTTCCTTCACCCCACTAGCAATCCCAGGTTTGCCCCAGTGGGACTGTCCCCAGCCCACCCCATTGCGCCAGAAAATGTTGCAATCACCATTGCCTAACATGCAGTCGGTGCTCAAAAAGAAAAGAAAACGAGGCCCAGGCCTTGATCCCCAGTCCCACTTTTAAATCTGTGAACTTGAGGGTTGTGAGCAAGCTGGCCAGGGGCCGCGGAGGTGAGGGGGGGCAGGTGGCGGTCACAGGGCGGTGGCCTCTGTCTGCGGCAGGGGTGGTGGTCCTACCTCTCTTCCAACTGCCCCACTGAAGAGTCCATGGCTGTTCCTTTATTTTAGTCACAGGGGGTTTTATTTTTGTTTTAGTATTATTTATTCATTTAGAAGATTATATGCATTTTAGTATAAGCACGTTGCCAAAATGTAAAAATGGAGAAAATTTAAAAATGGCTTAAAATAATAATCTTTCTATTCTAACAGGAATTGTTAACATTTTGGTAATTTTTTGACATTTTAGTATCATGTTTTCCCATACTCGGGGTATTGCTTTCTTCATTATTTTAAAACACCTTTTAATTGCAAGAATAGTATGATGGACTTTTTGCCCGTTGTTAACATTTTACACATTTGCTCTCTCTGTATGTACACACACATACCCACACACAGATAAGTATAAAGTTGACCCTTAAACAACATGGACTTGAACTGTGTGGCTATACATGGATTTTTTAAAATAAATACAGTATGATACTGTAAATGTATTTTCTCTTCCTTATGATTTTCTAATTTTTAAAAGATTTTTATTTCTTTATTTTGAGAGAGAGAGAGAGAACGAGAGAGCGAGCACAAGTGGAGGCAGACACAGTGGGAGAGGGAGAATCTTAAGCAGACTCCATTCTGAGCATGGAGCCCAACAAGGGGCTCAGTCTCACGACCCTGAGATCATGACCTTGAGCTGAAATCAAGAGTTGGATGCTTAATGGACTGAGCTACCCAGGCGCCCCTCCTTATGATTTTCTTAAAACATTTTCTTTTCTCTAGCTTGTTTTACTATAAGTGTATAATACATATAACATACAAAATACGTATTAATTGTCTGTTTATATTACTGGTAAGGTTTCTGGCCAACAGTAGGCTATTAGTAGTTAAGATTCTGGGGAGTCAAAGTTATGTATAGATTTTCAGCTGTGTGGGGGTTGATCAACTGTATATTCCTGTAGATATGCGTATCTATGTGTGTGCATATATATGTCTATCACATGTGTTATAAATAATATATGTGTTTATGATTCTTATTAGACTTTAGTTTTTTTTTTTTTTTTTTTAGACTTTAGTTTTGATAGCTAGACAGCCTTAGGGAACCCAAGGCTAGGAATAAGATATCTGGGTTCTTACCTCACCTCTGTCCTTTGTTGGCTTTGCCATTGAGTCCCTTCACTCCCCCAATCTGCTTTATCTCCTTAACACGAATAGTTACTTCTTACCCTGTCATTTGTCATGTACTGGGTCAGCTGAGATAATGAGGATAAGGATGTCTGGTAAACTGAAAGGATGCTCTGGCCTGAAGCAAGGCATCATCAAGACTTATTGGGTCCCAGGGCTCAAACCAGGGTGACTTTGGGGTGAGGTCTTCACCCTTCATAGCAGAGGGGCCCAGGCACTTCCCATGCTGCAAATCAGTGCAGAATCCTGGGATGTCTCTCTCCTTGGTTGCCAATGTAAGCGTAGAGCTTGGAGTGAAGGGCAGCTGCCCTCCTCACTGAGTCCCATGCTGGGAAAAGTGTCCCAGAACGATGTGGGAGGGCAACCCAATCCAGCTATGTGCCCTCCCTGCGGTCAGTGGGAAGTACTACATGAGGACTGAGTGCCAACTCCCAGTGATACCCAAGGACATTGCTTTTGGCTCACCCATGCTTGTATTTAAGAGGCAGTTAAGATGGTGAGTAAAAGACTATTGACACATTAAATCTCTAATTATTTGGACCAGCTTAGTCCATAGCTGGATTTCCAAATGGGTTGGACATCAATTAGTTAGGTTACTCCCTGTGGGTAGAGGGGCTGTTGTGGGTCAGGGGAGACGGGGGTCCAGCATACATGGTTCAGCTTAGACCTTGACTCAGCAATGCCCCTAGAGGACAAAAACGACATTGGCAATAGACGAGGAGCACTTTTCTAAAACACTTTCATATCCATGATTACATTTTATCTATGTGATGATGGGCAAGGCAGGTGTTACTGTCCCAAAGTTCATGCTGATGAAACTAAGGCCAAGGCCCCACAGCAAGTTGGTGGCAGACTGCTCACCCCGTGCTCCCTTGGGAAATGGCAGCATGAACACTGGCTGGCCCAGCAGAGTCACCTCATAACTGGCATCTCCTCCCGTTGTGCAGTTCACACTCACAGTGGCTCATTCTCCTGTGTCAGTGCTATCTTTGCACCCAGCCAGCTGAGGTAGGGCTCTGGGAAGGCAGGCCTGGCCCAGCCCTCCCCTTCCAGCATGTGTGCGTGTCTCCTAGGTGCTGCTGGATAAGGAGAGAGAAGCCATGGCCAAGTCCCGCCGGTTGGAGCGTAGCACGAGCAGCTTCAGCTACTCCTCCTACCACACCCTGGAGGAGGTGGGTCTGCCCAGCCGACTCCGGGCTCCGTTGCCCTTTGGGCTCTCCGGGTCTCCAGACTCGGGCAGGGACTAATGAAGGACTCTGATGTCTGTGGGAGCGTGTGAGCCAACACTTGGGGAGGGCAGCGCAGACACTGGGGGAAGGCCTGTCAGGCAGACAGCTTCAAAGAGGTCCAGAAGCCAGGATTCAGAGAGAACTGGGGCTCAACGGTACCGCCCAGGGCAGCTATGGGGCAGAGTAATGGGTGGAGGAGGCAGGATGCTGAGGTAGAGATGCGTCACTGGCCGGTGCAGAGCTGGGGGAAGGGGGGGCCGTCTCGGTAGCCAACACTGTGGCTGGGGATTCAGGGGGGTCTCAACCTCCTCACAAGCATTTCTGGTGTCAAGGGCCCCCAGCTGTGGGTACTAGGGTGTAAAGGGGCAGGAGGCAGGCACGTTGGAGAGCCATTTTGTAGAGTAGAACAGAGAGTTGCCTCAGTTGAAGAAAATTCCTGATCCCAGTGACAGCCAGCTAGGGCAGCATGACCGATTGTGGCTTGTTTATAAAGGAGAACGTAGAGACGCCCAGTCCAGAAAGAAACTCAAGGCACAGGCCCCATTTTCAGTTAAAGGCTGGGATGACAGGGTATTGTCCACCTTGTGACTATCATTTCTTTTCCCGTTTCACGTGGCCTGGAATAGAAGATCCATTTTTCCCACCTATTTGGTAATTCAATTATATACATTGAAAGAGGAAGGGAAAGGATTGATATGGCCTGTCAGTATTTATTGGTATCAGAGATAAATAACCCTGCCTTCGGAGGGCTTAGAATCTAAAAGGGCCGAGAAGGCCCCAACAACACAGTGGGGTCTGCGGGGTCTGTCAGATGGACTCGGTGGGCCAAGAGAATGGAAGCCGGAGAGAGACTTAGGGGCTGAGCCTGGGGGCTGAGTGGGTGAGCACGCGCAAACACTTAGCTCTGTGTGTGGTGTGTGGCCTTCGGGTCCAGGCTGACCGCAGCTCGTTGCCTTAGGCCTAGTGGGTGTCTTTGACTTGTGGAGTTCTCCATCTGCGTTCTCCTAGATCCTCAAGGGAGGTGGGAAAGCGTTCAGGAGGGTGGGATGGGGGTTTGTCCCTCCCTGCCTAAGAGCCCATCTGATATCTGTCATTCCTTTCAGATATATAACTGGATGGACAACTTTGTAACTGAGTATTCAGATATTGTCTCAAAAATTCAGATTGGCCACAGTTTTGAAAATCGGTCCATTCTTGTCCTGAAGGTAAAAGCTGGCAGTGTTGACCACTAGACTCTACAGTGAGTGCCTCTGGCATAAGATTGAACTCGTGTGGGGTCATGGCGGGGTGGCAACTGTAGGGACAGAGAAGATGTGTGTGCTCTTGCCCGGAGGTGATCCGCAGCGCAGAGGTTGTGGTGTTCAGGGACCCACCCTTATAGGTATGGGCAGGTGACAGTGCAATGACCTGACATGTCCTCAGGAATTAGGTGGGAGGGTTGCTAAAGAGAGGGAACTGCAAGATGGCAGTCGTCATGCTGGTCTTGGGATGTGAGTGTGGAGAAGCCGGCTTTCCCCCTATTCCCTTGGTTGCCTCATCTGTTAAATGGGAAAAGAGGTAAATAGAGGCCTCATTTCCAAATGATCGAGGCCATCTGGCTCAGGCAACCCCTCAGATAGGACTGAGTCTGTGGGGAGACCTCCCGACCCTTCCCAGGGGCCACCGGAAACAGAGTTTGAGCAAAGTTGGCAGCATCAATGCCCTTGGTCATGAATGAGGCAGGATAGGTAGGAACACGGAGCCCACCCGAAAACAATTCTTAGTATGTGCCCTAAAGGGCACTCAGGAGTGTGGATCACACAGGGCCCCTGACATCCAGCTCTCGGAGAAGACGAGTGCTGTTGCTCTCAACCTTGCCCTGGGGGACTCTTCCAAAGGACCAGGTGTCCTCCTTTCCCTTAGGACGGGACCTCCTCTGTCCCTGCCTTGATTTCCCTGGGGGCTGTGCGGGTTCTCTCTGTAATGTTGTCTAAGACCTTGCTCCTCAAAGTGTGGTCCTGGAACCTGCCTGCGGCAGCGTCCCCAGGAGCTTATCAGAAATGCCCACCCCCGGACCCTTCCCCACACCTACCAACCGAGCATCTGCATGTTAGGGAGATCCTGGGGGATTCAGTGCCCTTGAAAGGACGAGAAACACCAGTCTAAGGTACTTTCAGGCCCGGGAAGCTCTGTGCTTCTGGCTGGATCACCCCGTTCTCCACGTGCATGTGCCCCACGGCGTCATCAGGGCCCACACATGCGTGCCCTTTGTGGACTCAGGCACAAGTACCTGCGCATGGAGTCCCCGTCTTGGGCCCAGAGGGGCCGTCCCAGGTGGTGCGGAGACATCTGGGGCCTCCTCCTGGGAGCCTAGGGACAGCCCTGCAGCTGTCTCATTTCACGCTTGTTTGGGGCCTGGTGCTTTTTACCCAGTTCAGCACTGGAGGTTCTCAGCGCCGGGCCATCTGGATCGACACTGGAATTCACTCCCGGGAGTGGATCACGCATGCCACTGGCATCTGGACGGCCAAGAAGGTCAGCGTGGAATGGGGGTGGGCAGGGCTGGGTGTCGTCACCCACCCCTGACTGTTTCAGGGTGTCACCAGCTGAAAATTTATACTGGGTTTGTTTAAACTCAGGGGCTCTCTCCCCTCCTGTCCTTTGGAACAGCTGCTGTGTGCTCTGCCCGTCGGCAGCCCAGCACCCACATCCTCCTTTGCCTTCTAGTTGTTTAAAATCCAAGCCTTTACTTCTGCACCAAGAATGCATCTGATGGCTGGAGGCCACCCCTGCCCGCAGCCACTGGCTGGGCCACCTTAGAGGAGAGCCGGCAGCGCCTCCCATCCCTCCCCTGCCCCCACTCTGCCCTTGTTTGCAGATTGTCAGTGAATATGGCAAAGACCGCACCCTGACAAACATACTGAACGCCATGGACATCTTCATGGAGATTGTCACCAACCCTGATGGGTTTGCCTTTACCCACAGCATGGTGAGGGCATTTGGGAAGGAGAGGGACCGGGGTCAGGGTCAGCTCTGGGGCGGACGCAGGAAAGGTTGCTGAGGCTTTGGGAAGGTTCCCTGGGGGCCGGCCCCTTAGGGGCTCATGGCAGAGAGTCTCACAAAGGCAGGCAGGTGACTCAGGAGCTGCAGCTTCAGACCTTGCCATTCCATCCCTGCCCTGCTGCCCAGGAAGGCCACTGCTGCCAGCCTGTGCCTGTCCTCTGGCCTCCCCCCACCCCCACAAGGGGATCTGCAGTCCTGCCCCATCCTCGTGCCATCCTGCCCTAGAGATTCCTTCCTTTTGCCCCTCTCTGTCCCCCCAGACCTGCCTTCCTAGGACAGGATGTCAGAGGCTCCCACCCCTGGAAAAGGGGTGAATGTCACCTGCCATGGGCTTTTTCAGAACCGCCTGTGGCGGAAGAACAAGTCCACCAGACCTGGAATGTTCTGCATCGGTGTGGATCTTAACAGGAACTGGAAGTCGGGCTTTGGAGGTATGGCAGTCCGCTGGACCTGGGGCCGGGCTGGAGGAGTACTGGGGCCTTGTCACGTCTCCCACACAGTCAGGTTACGTGGATGCATACCGTGGAGGCAGTGTAGTTAGCTAATGCAAGTGAGTCATGGCCGGAGACGTGCCTAGGATTGGCAGAGCGGTATGGGGAGACGTTGCACGTCTGTGGACGTACGCGTATGCGCAGGCTCCTTGGGAGACACGGGAAACAGCTCCTTGCATGCAGGACTAACTCTAGGAATTGTACCTTAAGTACAGTGGGGGAAGGTACAAGAGAGTCTCCAGGTTGTACCTTCAAGAGGTACAAGATGGTCTTGCTGCTTGCTCAAAACTCAGTTTATATGCCCACCCCCCAATCTCTCTAGCTCGCCCTTGTAGGGAGCACACCAAAAGAAAAGGTCTTCAAATGCATTTCCTGAGAGCCATGATCTGAAATTTACCCTTTGGGGAGGCCAGAACAATAGTTTTAATGATAGAATAAGTCAATTTCTTATCATCAGCTCTGATTTGAGCCTGGTTTTTGTTTTTTATTCAGTTGCTTTGTAATCCTGGCCGCGTGGGCTGGTGTATGTCTGCAGGGTCATACTGTTCTAGGCAGAACTGGGCAGCTTCCTCCCAAGTTCCTTGTTGTTCTTCGCAATGATCTCCCTTACCGTACCAGGAGTGTAGGGACTAGATGGGGAAACTGAGGCCTCCAGAAAACCTAGACACCCTTATGTGGACCTTGGGAATGCAGGAATTTGATGGGTGGGATGCTGGGCCTGGCCAAGACAAGTTGCACAGGCACAGTCTTCAGGCTCCAGATGCGGCACCCACTATACTGAGGTGGGGTGGGGGGGTCGGAGTTTGGCTCCAAGGAGACAGTGCCTTTGCTGTTGAAAAGGAGATTCCACAGATGGGTGGCCAAACCAATGAGATCGAACATTCTAGATCTGCCCATCGCTTTGGAAATCTGGCTTCCTTCCGTTTGTTCTCGTTGAAAAATTAGCATCTGAAGCATCCCGAGTGAGGTGTGGGGGCTGTCTGAGAATCTGGCACGGTGTGTGTAGCTGCTTGTGTAAGGGAACACAACCGTGTAAAAATGGGTGTTTTCACTTCCAAATGACCAGACACTTGCTCCGAGTGGGCATCCAGGTGGGCCCCTCAGAACCGGCTGAAGCGAGCGCCCGTGTGCCCCAGGATAAACCGGCTAGCAGCAAGACAAATGATCTCTTAAAGAAAATAACATTTGTGTGTTTCTCCACTGGGGGCAAGAAGGGAGGGGGCCAGTCCGTATATACACAATATAAAAAAATGTATGGGGGAAAAAAGAAAGCCCAGAGGGGACAAAAAGCTCCCATAATCCCACTACCCAAAGATTACTGCTTTTAATAATTTACCATGTCCTTCCAGAGATGTCCCCTTGCTACAGATTACATTTTCAGAGAAGGAAAAATAAATAGCTAATGACTCCATTAGCGGGTACTTGTGACACCGGCGGGCTCAGAGGACTTGGACTGTGAACGTCAGAAAGAGGCAGGCAGCTAATTCCCATTTGGTCCAGGGAAGATTAGTTTATGCTGCTTAGCTCAAACCAGAACTAATGGCCTGAAGTGTTTCTCCATATTTGGGCAAAGCCACCTGGTTGTTGGCAGGGGAACCGCTTTCTGTGCGTGGGCTGTGAACGCAGACAAAGCTCTCAGCCCTCAGCCCCCACCCTCCCCACCCCGCTCTGCTCATCTGTTGCTGTTTGTCATTCATCAAGGGGAGCAGGTGCAGAAGCTCCCGGCAGACACAACAAACAGGGCCACTGTCCAGCCTGTGGGGCTGCTCCTCACCCTTGCTTCCTGCAGACACATCCCCTTCTCACCCGGGGCCCCACCGCAGGCGGGAGCCCACAGACCAAGGGGGGGGGACGCTCTCCCCGGTGACGGAACCGCCTCTGGGCCTGCCTGTGGACAGAAATAGTGTGTGCTGGGGTTGGTGACTCAGGCGGGAAGATTTTGTTTATGGTTTTATCATTGACTTAATTTAATTGCTGCATAATGAGTAATCTGTAGACCATCCCTCCCACTCATGCTGCCCTCACCTGCACTCCTGGGGAGGACTGATGTGCTGCAAGCCTAGTGCAGCATCTCAACAGGTCCCTGGGCCAGTCCTCCCAGCCCTCCAGCCAGTGCACTGCCCTGAGGGTCTAGGGGACTGCTCTGGCATCCCCAGGTGGCTTCAGAAGTTGGGGTGACCCCTGACCTCGGCCTCAGGTTTGTGTGCAATCATTTCAGGGAGGAGTGAGAGGAGGAACTGGGACGGCTCTTTCCAAACATGTTCCTAACCCACAAATCTCGACCAGCCCACAATCCAGCCCTCTATGACATGGCCCTTGGGGAGGGGAAGGAGACACAAGAAGAGGGTAAGAGGAAGAAAAGAGACGGAGAGCAGAGAATCTAGGAGATGGGAACCAATTAAATTTATGAACAAAATAGAAACTCAGGGCGCCTGGGTGGCTCAGTGGGTTAAGCCTCTGCCTTCAGCTCGGGTCATGATCTCAGGGTCCTGGGATCGAGTCCCGCATCGGGCTCTCTGCTCAGCAGGGAGCCGGCTTCCTCCTCTCTCTCTGCCTGCCTCTCTGCCTACTTGTGATCTCTCTCTATCAAATAAATAAATAAAATCTTTAAAAAAAGAAATAGAAACTCAGCTCCTCTCCCCCAGCTGAGGTCCCCAAGAAGAATTGTCAAAGGCTCTTTGCATCGGTGGCTCCCAGACCGGCCTCAGGCAGGGATCTGGCCTCTGTTTTTCTGGCCCCAAGTCCATGTTGCTCCCGAGGCTGTGATTGTGGCAAAGCTTGAACAGATACTAAGTCTGAGCACTCAACTGACCCAAGACTTCGGCACAGCAGGGGAGAGTCGGCAGAGAAGGGTCAGCTCAAAGGGGTCAATGCTCATTGGGGAAGCCAGGGTTGCAGACCTCGAGTTTCCACTGAAGGCTGTCCCACTTTTCTAATGGAACCAGTCAGGGCTGAAGCACAGGACAGGCTGAGAGAGCTCTCTACAAGGCTGGCAGCACGGCTCTGTCCTCATGTGAATTCATCCCTCTGATGTGTTAGACTAGGGTGTGCCCCAGTGATAAAAACCCACCCGAATCTCAGGGACTCAACACAGTAGAAGTTAATTTTTCAGGCGCATGAAGTCTGACGTGGGTAGGTGACTCTGCTTGGCAGCTTTCTCCCGACTATGACAAAGGGACCCAGGATGCTTCCTCCATCTAGAGTCCTTTGCTTGCAACCACATAGACAGAAGAGACTGTGGAGGAGCCATGCCTGCCCTTAACAGCCTCAAACTACAAGTGACCCATCATTACTGCTCACATTTTCATTGGTCCGAAGTCGTCACGGGGCCTCAACCAAACTGCAAAGACGATGGGAGACGTAGAGGAATACCTGGATATTTTGGGAGCATTAAGTGTCTTTCCCAAACCTGGGAATTCAAACTCTCTGGATGGTTTTATTTTAATTCCAGGAAATGGTTCTAATAACAACCCCTGCTCCGAGACTTACCGTGGGCCCTCCCCTCAGTCGGAGCCGGAGGTGGCGGCCATAGTGGACTTCATCACCACCCATGGGAACGTCAAGGCTCTGATCTCCATTCACAGCTACTCTCAGATGCTCATGTACCCTTATGGCCACTCTTTGGAACCCGTTCCAAACCAGGAGGAGTTGGTGAGATTGGCGGCTCGGGGCTTTGGGGGAAGCGTCAGGAAGACCTCCCCAGAGGTTCAGGCCCTCACTCCAAAACCGGGATCTGGACCCATCGACCCCATGGTAGGGAGGAGGGGGAGAGCTTATTCTCACATGTGGTCGAGTTCAAAGCCAAAGGGGCTGTGCTCCCTTCTCATGAGAGCCACCTGCTCATTCAGCTTCTGGGACCCCTCAATTCTTGTCTCTCAGCAGCTGGTGAGGGTGTGGGGGCGTGGGGAGCCCCAGCCTCTCATCCTCTGGCTACAATCCCACAGTACCAGCTCGCCAAGGACGCAGTGAAGGCCCTGTATGAGGTCCATGGGATCGAGTACATTTATGGCAGCATCAGCGCCACTCTCTGTGAGTGGGCCATGGCTGGAGGCCCCTCGTTCCCCTGGGGTGGGGAAGGTGCGGGCTGGTAGCTGACTGGCAGGGCTGGTTGGGCCCAGGGCAGCGCGGTCGACCTAATCAGGTTGGGTCAGAGCTGATGTCCTCGTCCGAATGGAGGGGTGAGTGCTGGTCTTTCTCTGCAGCACTAGTTAATGTCCAGCTTACCATGATGTTCCTTGAAGGAGCAGATCTTAAGCTCGGTGGCCTCCAGGAGCTCTCTTCTTACTGGCACAGAGAATGGGGAGGGTGGGCAGGGCATGGGCCAGGTTGAGGCTGGGGTCAGGAAGCACAGTGTTGTCTGGGGTGAGTTGGGGTTTGGCCGCCAGGGCCCACTTGTGGCTCAGACAACCCCTGCACCTTTGGGCCACACCCTGTTCTTCCTGCTGGGGACATCTCCTTGCCCTTCTGTGTCCAGATGTGGCCAGCGGGATCACTGTGGACTGGGCCTACGACAGTGGCATCAAGTACGCCTTCACCTTCGAGCTCCGGGACACGGGGCGCTACGGCTTCCTGCTGCCGGCCTCCCAGATCGTCCCCACGGCCCAGGAGACGTGGCTGGCACTCCGGACCATCATGGAACACACCCTGCAGCACCCCTACTAGCAACAGCGCTGAGGGCGGAGCAGGAGCACACACTCCCTTCCCCTAGGCCGGGGCTCCTCCTGAACCCCGAGTGATCCATGGTCCTCCCCACACCCTTACCCTGACCCCTTAGGCAATAAATAACAGGTTTGAACAGGCTGGGTGGCCTCTGGTGCTGGCCACCACCCATTTTGGGCTCAGCACTGAGAAGGGGCCAGGGGCAGCTTGAAATGTCTCTTTGCTCTTTAGGAATCCGGGAGGATCAGGGACTAGCAGACTTCCTATTCCTTCCCCTGAGTGCTCTCCAGGCCCAGAACACATAACCCACTCTCTGGGAGCTATGGGTATACACATTGTCCCCTTGGTGTCTACACTCTGAGATGAGGGCACAATGTTTCACCTGAAGGAGTGGGTCTGCGGTGGCGGCATCTCAGGCGCCCCAAGGGAAAGATGGGTGCAGACAAGCAGCTTCCTCCTCCTCCTCACCTGTAGTCACCAAGCTCTAGTCGGGCCCTGAGCAGGCTGGGCATTTACCAAGCAAGCACTTTATTTAAGGATGAGAAAGGGACGATGTTCTGAGATACAACTGAGGTGCCTCCTACCCCCATCCTGAGGCTTCCTTATAGTTTTTGTCTTCCTCCACCACTGGGGAGCGGGGAGAGTGGGTCCCTTTGTCCTGCCCTCAGGGGAAGGCAGGTCCTCTGAAGAAGCAAGAGGTTCACCAAAGAGCTGAAAGGGTCTCTGTGAGTCTGAGGCAGAAAACAAGACTTTCATTGGCAAGAGCAAAAGAAAAGGATTGTGGGACCCGTGATTTGGTCCCCGCAGGACACAGAGCACAGGGTTTTACTATAAATCACAGATATGGAAGGAAGCAGGAGAAAACGAGAACAAGTCCGCCTTTCTACCCACCCTGTAAAAGAAGACAGAGGTTGAATCAGTGGGAGGCGGGGATCAGCGGGGATCAAAACTCTAGGTAAGACCCACGTCCAATATGGTGGCTGAGGCGCAGATTAAAAAGGACTGAGCCGGGGGTCTAGATGAGTGATTAAAGTACACTCATGGGTGTGCCCATATGGCGGGGTACACCTGAGCAGTGCAGCTCTCGGGAGCTCCGAGTAAAGAAATGGTGAGGAGGCCTGGGGTAGGCTGAGCCCAAGGACCGTGCAGCCAGTGGCCACGGAGGCACCACGGCCAGGGGAGGCCTGTGCCCAGAGAAGCTGCACCATGAGGAGACCTGAGGAAGTCAGGGTAAAGAACACCTGAAGAACCAGATCCTCTCCAGGGCAAGAGCCAACAACAGAGGAGGAGAGCGTCCCGCTTTGGGCTACATTTCCTTACCAGGGGAAGTGGAAGTGATTTGAGCAAGCTAGAACCTCCAGGTTGAAGTTTTTTGCTCTTAGCGGAAATACGATGCCATGGGCTGAGTTAGCATAAGCTATAGACAAATAAAGCAAGTTACACCTTTGCACACTGGAGTCTGTGATTATAACTTTTGTACCCTCTGCTCAAATATTTTCATTTCATCCTCTTGGGGAGAATATTACTGGTATTCGTAAGCTTGTATTTCAGATGAGGAACGCATGGTCACGATTTGGAGAGGTTTTAAAGACCACACGAGGCCACATGCTTGGGAAGTGGTTGAGGGAGATTTGAACTTGGGTGTGTCTAACTCCAAAACCACTCTGTCATCATTTGTCCAAGTGTGACACGTAACCGCACCTGCAGCAGAGTCCATGGGGAGTCTTTGAATGTGACGGTAGTTGGGTTCCATTCCCAGATTGAATGGGAATCTTTGGGGTGTACCCCCCGAATCTGTATGTTTACTATCTGCCCCAGAAGTTGTGAGGTTCCTTAAAGGCTGAGATCCACCTGCTCTCCTGCCTCCCAGAAGAACACATTTGAGTCTTCCTGGGGACGTTGGGGCTCAGCGTCTCTACCCTCTGCCATTATCCATTAAGTCTGAAGGTGGTTACAGCAGCATTCTTCCCAAGGGGCTGCCTTGGCCTTCACCTAAAGTAATGTGGTCGGAGGCCACAGGCATCAATACAAATTCTGGAAATACAAATTCTCAGGCCACCCCAGACCTCCTGAACCCACATCTCTGGGGATGGGGCCCAGGTGATGCTGCAAAAGCACTGCCCTAGAAGCAGGAGTAGCTGGACCCTGATGGGTTTCTCAGTAACAACAGTGAAAATAATTAGCTTTCCTAGCACTTGCTGTGTGCCAGGCATGGCTGCAAGTGCATTACAGGATTCAACACATTTCCTCCTCGCAGCTCTAAGAATTAGGACTCTTACTGCCTTGATTTCCAGATAAAGAAGCTCGGGCTCAGGATAATAGCTAAGGGGCACCCAGCTAACTGAGTGGCAGTCCTGGGACCTGTGTCATGCCCAGAGCCCCTTAGGACCAAGGGCCGGGAACTTGTTCTCATAGCCATGTTGACAAGACTTGTGTGCAGCCAATAGACTCAGGAAATTTGGAGCTGAAACTGCTTTACAGAAGGGGGTCATCTTGAAAGGCAGCTTTTTCTTTAAAATCCTTCAGTGACTCAACTCCCCCTGCTCCATCCCTACCCCGCCACTGCCCAAGATGCCACATGGCTGGCCCTGGGGACCTCTCCTAATTTGCCTGAACACCTTGCTCATCGGCCCCAACCTCACCAGCCTCCTCTCAGTTCTTTCTCAGCTGGAAGCATTTACACACAATGCTCCTTCTTTCTGGAACATTCTCTCCTCTCCTCTCTTCCTCCATATGGCCCACTCCTTAAATTTCTCCCTTCAATATAATTTCCTCACCAGTCCTTCAAGAAACACCCATTAGAAGTGGATCTATTATCCTCTTTGCAAGGTCTTGGTGTATTTCCGGGATTACAATGATAATTAATTGACTTCTGTGTGGTTTTGTCTCTGCCACTAGTTTGGCTGCTCCATGAGGGTAGGGACCATGTTTGGGTTATTCAGCCTCACTCAGCTCCTGTTGGGTGCACAGCAAGAGCTCAATATTTGTGGAAAGAGTGTTTCTCCTCCTGGGCCTCTTACAGATTCTTACTTCGGTTTAGCATCAGGTGACGGAAGCCCACCTTTCTGTGGCTTAATCAGATGGGGGTTTTATTTTTTTCACACACTAAGTCGCGTGCAGTGGGCAGACCCGCCCACCTGACTGAACGTGACTTGATGCACGGGAGACCCAGGCCCCTCTGGCCTGTTCCGTTTGGCTACCCTGCCGTCACTTTGATGCCATCATGGGACCGTATTCCAGGCAGGAAGGGCAGGGGCCAGAAATGGGGAGTCCCTGGCCAAGCTGGTCGATCCATGGACTTCCATGACACTCTGTGGGCTGGGACTGTGTCAGGTGCTCACGCTCAGCTGCAAGGGAAGCTGGAAAAGCACCTTACAGCCAAGCACGGTGCTGCCCCAAATAAAATTAGAGTCCTGTTGGTAGGAGAACAGGGAGAACGGGTATGGAAGGACGGCCAGCAGTCTCCTGAAGCTGCTCTGAAGGGAGAGAAGGTCTGAAGGGGTCTCTGAGTCAGTTTCTTTGCTCTAGTTAAACAAGTGACTGACTTAACATCAAGCCAGAGAACTTTCCAGGGTCTTTTAAACTTCCAGCCAAACCCCTCATCTGGGGTCTCTGGATCATTGTACTTCTGTGAGGCCCTCCATGAACCTAACAGCTGAGAGGAGACTAAAGCCAGGGGTCTTCCTCCTCTGATTGAGGGGCTCTCCTCAGCAAGCCCAGGAAAGTGGTGGCTGGAGGGGTTTAAGTGTGTCCAATAAAAGCTCAAGCCTTAAACATGCAAGTTTTAGAGATACTACAGAATCATCTCTTTCTCGTAAAATCTGAACGTTTTTTTGTTTTGTTTTTCATTTCTTAGGTATATAATGCTAAACAGGAGTTCAGTTTTTCTACATTCTGCTTGGGTTTTTTTTTTTTTTTTTTTTTTTTCCTTTCCCCTTCCAACAAACTGCTCTTTTTAGGTATGTTTTTTCATCCTTTTCACCAGTAAAATTTATGAGCATTTATTTAAAAGAAAAAAACATTGGAAAAACTGAAGAGAGAAAGAGTGATTATACATATGGAAAGCTATAAAGAGCCACAGTGAATGTGTTGCGGTTATTGCTTTCTTAAAAAAACAAGCCAGGCAGGCGGTTTGGAACCTGAAAAGAGTCCTGTGTGAGGGCAGGCGGGCGGCCGAGGCTGAGAGTGATGGGCACGTGGCCGGGGGCCAGGGAGTCCAGCGAGGAGCCGTTAGCTGCCTCCACCCCTGCTCCCCTCCCTCCTCCGTCTCCCCTCTGACTGCCCCAGACAGGACCGGAGAGAAAATGACTTTACCGAAAACATAAAATTAAATTTAAAAAAGCTTCTTCAGAAAAATAAGATGGCCCAGACAGCCGCTGACTATAGGTGGAGGGAATCTAGGGATGGTTGGCCTGTCAGGGCCTCACCCTCTGGTGAAGTCACTCCACATCTTGAGTTTGGGTTGCAGGGGGACATGTCATGTTCTTCTGGGGACGAGGGTGTCCTGAAGGACAACTTTAACCTGTTTGGCCTTCGAATGTTCTCCTGTCCCAAGCATCTGGGATCATCCTTGGGAATGATATCATGTCTGCAAATCCATTCTTTTGGCTTGTCCCTCGGTCGCCTCTGGCCCTCGCCCCCCCACCCCCACAGGGTCTGCCGTTGGCCTCCTAACCAGCTTTGCCACGCTCTGTGGCTCCCCATCCACCCTCCCTTCCTTCCATCCACCTCCCTCAACCCCCCCAATGCCTAGCTAAGACCTCAAGGTAACATTTCACTAATTTTTACTTGGGGATACAGGAGGGAAATACAATGTAGAAAGTAAATCACTTCCGCTGGAAGCTGGCTTTGGAGTCAGTTTGGATCCCTTTGTGAGACAACCCCTTCCTACAGCCTTCACTCTCCTTGGCCTTCTGCCTGTTCCCACATTGCTTCTCCCCTCCCCCATTTCCTCTTTTACATTATGGGACATTCCTGCTTAGATCTTCTCTCTTCCGACTCTGTTCTGAGACTTGGGCTCTGACTTGACATTTCCTAAAGGCCCACTGGAGTGTTTCTCTCTTCAGGTTACAAATTCTACCTCCTTTCCAGACACAAGCCCCAGCAGCCCCTTTAAAGGGATAGTTCTGCAGCTTCCAAGCAAACAAACAATAGCCTCTACTGGGCACTCAGTTAATGAAAGAAAAGCTCAAGGAGGCTGCTGTCAGGGCCTCCCCGCCTCCCCCACCCAGCCTTCCAGGAGGCCCCCAGAGCCTGCAACCTCCCACCACAGCCTCAGCAGCCGGAGGCCCCTCTCAACCTACAGGCTCCTGGGAACACTCACCCATCACAAGTCCCAGGGCCCCCGTGGCTCTACTCTGATCTGCCCACAAACCTGGGGAAGGCTCTTTGTACTCTGCCCAGACCTGTCACCAAGGCTGTGATTTGTTTGGGGGTAAAATATATAAATGTCCTAGAATCATAACGTGTCACTGCTGGAAGAGATCATTCTGTCCACATTCTGTAGGACAGAATTGTGAAGGAAACTGAGGCTCCGGGATGTGCAGTGACCTCCCCGAATGATATAATGGGTTTTGTGGCCATCTACTCCTGGACAGCATTCCCTCCCCCGTTTTGCTCTCTCCTGAAGTTCGAGAATGTCTCTGTGTGAGCTGTGTCCTTTCTTCAGGCACACGTGACAGAAAGCCAACTTGATAAAGCCAGAGGGGTAAGAAATGGAATTAGTTGGCTCATCTCTAGAGCTGCGGTGGGGGTGGGGTGGCTAGACCCACCCAAGTCACCTGTCCTCAGAGTTGGGAAGGGTGGGCCCAGGGGAAGACAGAGGTGCTATTTATCAAAAGGAGGAGGGTGCTGGGCAGGGAAAATGAAGAGATGGCCATTATAGTCCACCACCTCGCTGCCTCAGGTTCTCACAGACTTCTCTTCCCATACGCACAACTGTACCCCAGACAGCATTAAACACACTTGCCAAAGTGAGACAGCTGAAATCTCATCCAGCTGTCATCCAGTCAAAATTGGACCATTTTGACTGTGCCCATGTGTGCTATCTGCAAGGATATCCCTTCTCCATTGTCCTCCTTTGATTCCTAATATGGACATGGACTGACTCTCTTGCCTTTTTAACAAACCATTTTCTAGGTTTTAGTTTGGGGATCTTTAAGCATTGTCTTAGAATCTCTGTTTAGCATGCTTGGGCACTCTCTGGCAACAGGGCTGCCACGAATAGTTGTCCAAGTTGTGCACTGTACAAAATCATTCTGCTGAGAGGATGAGGGACTGTCTGCTCAGAGGGAGAAGGATGCCCTTTTCTCATAAAGTCTCCCCTAGGCTAAAATTGTATTGTCCTCTCACAACACAAGCACTTTAAAAGCTTAGTAAGGGGGTGCCTGGGTGGCTCGCTCAGTTGGTTGGGAGTCTGACTCTTGATTTTGGGTCAAGTCATGATCTCGTGATTGTGGAATGAAGCCTCACATTGGGTTCTGTGCTTGGTGTGGAGTTTGCTTGTCCCTCTCCCTTTGCTCTGCCCCCAACCCCATGGCTCCCAGTTTCTTTTTCTCTTAAATAAATAAATAAAATCTTAAAAAGCATAATAAAAGCTTAGCAGGGCATCGCTTAGAATGCTTTGTTCAGACTTAGTGCTTTTTACAGTTAATAAAAAAGAAACGTATATTCTTTCATATTATATAGTCCAAAGGTGAGGCAACAGACTTCACAACCAGGGAAAGGTGTCTTTTTCTCAAGTGTGGAAAAAACATTTTCTAGAAACTTCCTTGCTGGCTTCCCTTCACGTCTCATTGGCCAAACTGGGTCAAATGCCTACCCCTAAATCAATTACTTGCAAAAGACAATGGGATTCCTCAATTGTCTTAAGCCAATCTTGGAATTTATCTCTGAGCTGGGAAGGGGGTGACTTTCCTGAGGGGTGATACCTGCACCGAATCTAGGTTTGTTCCTCGAGGAAGAAGGGAGGGACACTGGACTCTACTCCATGTGGCTATAGCAGACCTTCCTCTGTTTGCATTCAGGCCTCTGACCTGTGCCCTTTCCTTGACTCTGGATGCCAGGCTGGTGGCTTATTTCTCATGCTACTAGGTCCTGATGTTCTTCATATACCCTGTTTTCCACATAATGGCCTACATCTTTGCTCCTGCTTTGGACTAATGTGAAAGAAGCTCCTGTGGAAAGGCAGAGCTGTGGCCTTTTGCTCCTGGTTCCAGTCTAGCAGCTGGTCTTCACCAAGAGACTATTTTCGGCTTCCTGAGGGGCTTTGGAGTGCCCAGGGAATTAGGCCTAGCCTCCACCTGAGACCCAGAGTCCTCTCCTATTGTGTTTTCAGCTTCCTGACAGTACTGCCCCTAATTTTAGCTTGCAGCATTGAGTTAATCTTTTCCAACCTTGCAAGAGAATAGATTATGTGACTCTTGGCCACCTTAGGTTGCTGGCTAGAGGCTTCAAGAGGCCTGCTTAGTGGGGCTGACCCTCTCCCCACATGCCCCATCATCCCCCTTCCACCAGTGGACTTGTCTTTTCTGGAAGGAATTCACAGAAGGCTCAAGAAATACCCAACACCCCCAACATGTGTAGTGTGCATGAAACTTACAGGATACCTTTAGATTTAGAAACACAGAAAGAAATATTGTTTTCATAATGCAAACTGAAGAAAGGGTCTACAGAACCTTTCTTCTTGCGAGGAGACATACTGGAAAATGCGAGAATACTGTAGGGCGCTAAGAGTTGAGGGAGAATATGAGGGATGGGCTAAAACACAGTTCCTGGTCCGAAGAAACTTACAGTCTCACTGGGGAGACACACATTAAGGAGGAGTAAATGAGAGTGTGTTCAAGCACTGCCTAGAGTCATGAAACACCCATTCCTTTCTGTGTCTGATAAAATCCTGTCATTAAGACTCAGGTCGAATGTCACCTTCTTGGTAAAGTCTTCCCTGGATGCTGAGTATGGGCCCATAGCCTGGAGTCCGCAGTCCTCCAGGGACTTCTCACGCACAGCAGAGAAAATGCCCCACTCAGGTCTCCTGCAGGGAGGAAGGCATCCCCAGTGGGTCTTTTGTTCATGTAATACTGTCTCGGTGATGGCTTCTTGTAAGACCTGTTGGAGAACCGACATGTTGGTTGGTTACTTCTGTCTTCCGCATGAGACCGTGGGCTCTCTGAGATCAGGGACAAGTCAGTGGGAGCCGAATTGACCGAGGGCCTCACCCCTGTCTTGTGATGTGGCCACATATCCCACAGGCTGACCCTAGCTATTGACTGGTGTTCCTGTGGGACGCAGGACTCCCCTGACTCAAAGATTTTGTGTCAGCCTGGCCGAAACATTCTCAGAATGGCTCCTATCAGAGCTTCTCCTGCCCAATCTCCTCTCCTCCCCCCTTTGCTTCCTCCCTCCTTCCCCTCTTCTCCCCTTCTCCTTCCCCATCTCTTCCCTCCTCTCTCCCTAACGCCCCTCCCCTTCCTTCCCCCCTTCTTCTCTCAGGGGTCAGCCCCATAGCTTTGGTATGAAGGCTCTCCTGCTTTCTCCTGTTCTCTCTCCTTTATCCTTCATGGGCAGTTCTCCCCACGACTCTCCTGCATGTCTAATTCTGTCTTGGAGACAGCTTCTTGGAGGACCCCAAGAGAACACAAGTTAGTTGGTTACTTCTGTTGCCTCCACTACACTGTGAGTTCGCTGAGATCAGGGACGATGTGCCTTGGGCATCATCGCAGGGGAGAGCACAGAGCTTGGCCTGAAGAATGAATACGCAAGGGGGTTAGCATTCAGAGAAGGGGCAAATACTCGAGAAAGAAGCTAGAGGAAGCTTCAGGGAGGAAGTAGGTCTTGTCTGGGGCCTGGAGGTCAGGCAAGGTTGCTGGAGAGGAAAGAAACAGTCTTCATGGAGTCTCCACATCTACTGGGGTGGGGAGTGGGGGGTGTCCAGTGTTCTATTGTCTGCTTGGACCTGGGCTCAGGACAGAGTGGGGAGGGGGTGGGCAATAGAAGGGGATCCCTCTGTCCTGGCATGGGAGGGCCGGCCAGGTAGGGGGTGGGATAGGGAGGTGGAGGGAACTGATGGAAACCAGAAGGGCCACCTTGGCTGTTGTCAGTGTCCAAGCCTGAGGCCCTGACATAGAGCAGGGCCCCCAGATGGTGCTGGGTAGCCCCTGGGGGCCCCTGTGGATTAGGGCGGATTTGTGTGAGATGTTTCCGCGGTGAGATCAGCGTCCAGAGCCAGAATCAATTCCCCCCTGTGAGTTCCACTTTCTCCTGGACACTGTGCAGTCCCAACACGGGTCTGGCCCTGCTTCCCACCACCACGCTTTCTACTCAGATGACATCTGGTTGTCGTTCCCATCAAGGGGAGCCCTGATCCTGAGCCCTAGAGCAGTGGGGGTGGGGGGCCAACACAGGCGAGTGTCAGGTTCCTGCCTCAACTGCTGCTGCTGTGGCCGCCCACAAGACCATCGAGGCCGGGAGGAGTGGGGCTGGGAAGTGCCCTTCAGGGGGCCGTACCCCAGAAGGCAATGTGCCTAGCCCCAGGGAGAGGCAGCCCCGGACCAAGCCAGCAGATGCGGGAGCGGGGTGGGGGCAGAGAGCCCCAGCTTATTCTGCCACAGGAACAGAGGGGCTGGCACTTAGGAACATGGGGGAAGGGGATACCTCCTGTGAGGCTCCAGCTGGTGTGGCCGCTGTGGAATCCTGGCTCCTTCTCCACTGCCCGGTCGGCAAACAGGACTGAGGCCCAGGTGCAGGGCCTGAGGTGCAGACCTGGGGCAATGGGCAAGCCAGGGCCCAGCTGGGAAGCCTCAGGCCTCAGCTGACCCTCAGGCCCAGGTGGGCACTTCACAGCCAAGGGCTTGAGGCCTAGCTTATCTCCCCAGCTGCCCAGTTCCCTGCCACTTTATCAGGGAGGGTGATAAGGTGTCAGAGCTCAGGACTCCCGTCCTCCCCCCACCGTGGGACCCAGCCCAGGTGCAAGTGGGAGGACTAGCCTTGGGCATGGCCAGAAGACATCTGACCCGGGAGAGTTTAAAAGGCCCCAGGTCCTTCTCTCAGCCTCAGTTGATGTTCCCAGTTGGCTGCAGCATGAGGGGGCTTCTGGTTTTGAGTGTGTTGCTAGGGGCTGTTCTTGGCAAAGAGGACTTTTCGGGGTAAGAGGATGGCGAGAAGGGGGTGCTCACGCAGGAGAAGGGAGGACTCGGCCCCGGGTCAGCATCTGGAGGCGACAGATGGGCTGACTTGTGGGAAGACTCCAGAGAGGCACAGACTTGTACACCCCGGGAGGCAGGCTGACCAGGGGCCTGGGCTGAGAAGGGGCCCGGGCCCTCACGGAGAAATCCGAGCTTGAAGGAGTTTTTAGGAGAGGAGGTGGGAGGAAGCCTGGCTGGCTTTGGAGAGAAAAATAGAGTTTAAACTGGGATGAGGATAGCAGCTGTGTCCAGAAGGTTCCAAGGAGCCTAGGCCTTGCATTGCTAAGACCCCTCATGCTTTCTCCTGCTCAGCCAGAGGATCGGGGCCCAGCCTGGGAATTCCAGGCTGCTCCACGCCCCTTGCCTCCCACCTGGGGAGGGTGAATGGCCCATCCCAGTGGCTCAGGCCCTTCATCTCCCCTCCCACTCTGCCCAGGCACCAGGTGCTCCGACTCTCCACTGACGATGCAGCCCAGGTAGAGAAGGTGAAGGAGCTGGAGGACCTGGAACACCTGCAGGTCAGAAGGAGGGGGGGGGTCCCCCCGAGGCCCCCTGGTTCCTCTCGGGCCAGCCGATCCACCCCAGGATGCCACCTTCCCCTGGGGCCCCCCGGGTCCTGGGCCCTCTCTCCTCACCACCCAGAAAAGACCCATGGGATGGATCCCTGTTAGGAAATGACTCAGCCCCCACCTCCCCCCATTCCAGAGTCTCGCTGTGTTCGAGGATCTGAACAAAGTGGGGGCCTCCTTTCCGGCCCTTCTCTCTGTCTTGCGGTCTGGAAGCCCCTCCACCGTGCTTCCCGGGCCATCTCCCTGACCGCAGTGGACTCGGTCTGATGCCCGCCGTTTCCCCTTTCGTCCCCTGCCCTTAACAGCCATGCCGCAGCCACAGTCAGAGGGGACGTTCTGGCCCAACCTCCCCTCCCGGGCGGACCCCTCCCCAGCTCGCCGTGACCATGCCCGCTCTTGTCCCCCCCAGCTGGACTTCTGGCGGGGCCCTGCCCAGCCTGGCTCCCCCATCGACGTCCGAGTGCCCTTCCGCAGCATCCAGGCCGTCAAAATCTTCCTGGAGGCCCACGGCATCGGGTACACGACCATGATTGAGGACGTGCAGGCCCTGCTGGACGAGGAGCAGGAGCAGATGTTCGCCTTCCAGGCCCGGGCCCGCTCCTCGGACACCTTCAACTATGCCACCTACCATACCCTGGAGGAGGTGAGGGAGCCCTGGGTCACTCAGCACAAGCACCGAGCTCTGCTTCAGGCTGGCAGAACATGGCCCACCTGGGTGGGCGTGGCACCTGCTGGGTCTCCAGGCGGCCCTGGTAGGGGGGGTGGGGGGCCCGGGGTGGTGGGTCGCCAGGATGGCCGGGCTTGCAGCTGGCGGGCTAATGGGGCTGCTCCGTCTGGGAGGCAGCCAGGTGCCTGGCAGCCGCTCCAGCTGGCCTCCCCTTCTCTCCCCTCTCAGATCTACGGCTTCATGGATATGCTGGTGGCCGAGCACCCGCAGCTGGTCAGCAAGCTCCAGATTGGCAACAGCTACGAAGGGCGTCCCATCTACGTGCTGAAGGTAACAGGCACCTGCTTGAGAACCAGCAGCCACCGTGTGGTGAGCCGCGCCCCCAGAGAGCGCACCGTGACGTGAGCGCCCTGCGTGGACATTGGGGAAGGACGGAATTTCTATGCTGGTCTAGCTGTAGGCACACTTGTGCGCACTCGGTTCTTAAATTTTTCAGGGACCCACGTATTTTCAATCAAGTGTCACATTCCGGGATGTAACCCAGAGTCAGGGGAGTCCAGAGAAAACATTTTGCTCGGGATACCCCACAGAGGACTGTGTCTGGGCAGCAGAAGAGGGCAGGGCCCAGAGTGCTGGCTGAGGGCTATTCGCCCCAAGGCTGGTATGAAGGCTGGAGGCCACATCCTGCTGGATTCCTGTCCTGACACCCCCACCCCCAGCCACACACCTCACCTGAGTGACGGCCCCACACACGGAGCCTCCACCTGACATACCCGGGGAGCAGAGGGCCTCCGGACCGGGGTTTGCTCCCCTTCAAGGAGCCAAGACAGAACCCTAGCTGCATCTCTCTGTTCTTCTTGTCCAGTTCAGCACTGGGGGAGAAAACCGTCCTGCCATCTGGATTGACACAGGCATCCATTCCCGGGAGTGGGTCACCCAGGCCAGCGGGGTCTGGTTTGCAAAGAAGGTGAGCCTCGGGCACTGAGTGGGGCCCTGGCCTGGTGGGGGTGAGCCCTGGCCTCCCCGGCTCACCCGGCAGCAGTGAGGCAGATGGAGCAGGTGTTCACTGCCTCCGCATGGTGGACAGTTGGCCTGACCCACCCCGCCTGTCTGTCCCCAAACTCCCCACCAGATCACACAGGACTATGGCCAGGACTCCACTCTCACCGCCATTCTTGACTCCATGGATATCCTCCTGGAGATTGTCACCAACCCTGATGGTTTTGTCTTCACCTACAGCAAGGTACAGGCCTTGTCCCATTCTTGGGGGGCAACAGGGTGGGCCTCTGGCCTCTGAGCCCCATGAACTACTCACCCCTATTCTCAACCCCCAGCAGTCGAGGGAGGGGCAGATAGACTTGTCCTCCCAGACCAGGGCTCTCATCCTTGGCATTCTGGACATTTGGGGCAGAAAATTCTTTGTGTGGGGGGCTGTCCTGAGCATGCAAAGTGTTTAGCAACAATCCGACCTAATACTCAGGAAAGACTAGGAGCAACCCCTCCATTGAGAGAGCCATAAATGTCTTCAGACTTTGCCAAATGTCCTGGTATTGTCCCCGGGGGAGACCCACTGCCCTGGACCTTATTTCCTAGCTTCATGTTATTTTATGGCGGGTATATCACGCTACCAATCCAGTGGGGATGGGGCAGGGGGTGCGCCTGGTGCCTTCCTTCCCACAGGTAGAACCCTCTGGCCAAATGCCATCTACTGTAGCCACTGTCCTCTTTCCACCAAGAGCCTCCTTTGCAGACCTTCCTGACAAGCCATTGAAAGGGGTTTCTGACACATGCTGTGTCCACACCTGTGCTATAGACGATGACAGACAAGTGTCTGATTCCTTCCCCAGAATCGCATGTGGCGCAAGACTCGGTCCCGCACGGCGGGCTCCTCCTGTGTTGGAGTGGACCCCAACCGGAACTGGGATGCTGGCTTTGGGAGTAAGGCCCCATGGGATTTGGAAGCAGGGATGAGAAACCCAGAGCGGCTCCTTACCCTCCTGTGTCCTGTTTCCCCCACCTCTTTCCTGCCCCAGAAGCAAGGGCGGAGTTGAGGCGGGGAATATCAGGGTCTCCTCTGAGGCTCAATGAGATTTTCTTGTGCCTTGTTTCTAGAAACAAATCTGCCCTCAATGGAATTAAGACCTGAAACCCATGTAGGGGTTTTCTAGGGTGACTAACTCCTTCTCTCTGTGGTCCCTTCACTACAAGAATGGGTCTTGGGGCGCCTGGGTGGCTCAGTTAGTTAGGCATCTGTCTTTGGCTCAAGTCATGATCCTGGGGTCCTAGGATTGAGCCCGGTGCCAGTCATGTCGGGCTCCATGCTCAGCGGAGAGCCTGCTTCTCCCTCTCCCTCTGCGGCTCCCCCTGCTTATACTTGCTCTCTCTCTGTCAAATAAATAAGATCTTAAGGAAAAAAAAAAAAAAAAAAAGAAAAAGAATGGGTCTTGCTTGAGACCCTCCTGGGGAAGGAGGTTCTGCCCGTGTTACCTATGCCTGGCTGGGGAGGGAGGGAGGGCCCCCAGGTTACAAACGGCCTTTGGTCTGTCCTTAATCCCAGAGTGTGGGTGGACGCCACACTGCTTGGCCGTAAGGAATGCTAGCTAACCCCCTTCCTCTCCCACAGTGGCTGGAGCCAGCAGCAACCCATGCTCGGAGACTTACCATGGCAAGTTTGCCAATTCCGAAGTGGAGGTCAAGTCCATAGTGGACTTTGTGAGGAACCACGGCAACATCAAGGCCTTCATCTCCATCCACAGTTACTCCCAGCTCCTCCTGTATCCCTATGGCTACAAAGCAGAGGCAGCCCCCGACCGGGATGAGCTGGTGTGTGCCCATCCCCCACTTGCCCTCCGGTGCCTAAGCACCCCTTTCTCCCATGGAGCCCTGATGGCTTAGGAAGACCTGCAAGGCAGACTAGCCTCATTTTCTGCCAGGGAAACTGAGGCACAGAGGGGTTGAGTCACTCCAGTCACATGACCGAGCAGGGGGTAGGGCTAGACTTGGAGCTGGTACCACAAGTTCAGTCTGGAGCTGCAGTGTGACCAAAGGGCAGAGACTGAAGTGCCAGCCAGACATCCCCTGGGGTTAGAGGGCCATGGGGCTGCCGAAATCCTGCGCTCTGCTGGGCTGCTTCCCAGCTGAAAGTTGGGCTACCCGGGCCTGCTGTTCTGGCCTGTTGTTGCTGGCCGTAACAGCCAGTATTGCTCGGCATTTTCTCCAGGATCAGCTGGCCAAGTCTGCTGTGAAAGCCCTCGCCTCTCTATATGGGACCAAGTTCAAGTATGGCAGCATCATCAAAGCAATTTGTAAGTGGGTGCATGGTCTCTGGGGTGACACCAGGTGCCAGCTTAGCTGGTGTTTCCTGCCTGAGTTCCTGTCCCTCCTGGAGGAGGTGCCCAGGAGTGCCTAGATCTGGGAGCATGGGCCAGGAGAACAGTTCTTGGCCGTGCCTCGGTGGGCGGCAGGGCCCTTTTCTGACAGGAACTCTGCCTTCTTTGATACCTTCAGACAAGCATATCAGCTCCTTTGAGCACCTTTGTCCCCTTGTTTTAGGTTAAGTCCAGCTTTATGGAGGAGGTGGAGGGTTCTGCTGGCATTTCTGTATCACCAAGAAATTCAGCTTAAAACATACCCCTCCTCCGATGCCTCTCAGTTTAAAGAAGATATCTTATATCTTATCTAACCCCAGCTTACTTGTACTTGCAATGCCCCTGGGAGGAGCACTGCTACATCAAAATGGAATAACGTCAGCAAATTTTATTGAGCACCTACTATACCTTGTTTTCTGTGCTTGGGAAACAGTTGGGAAAAAGCGAAGTTCAGGAACTATACATTCTAATGGAGGAGAGTGACGATAAACGTGAAGAAGTAAATGATACAGTATGTTAGGTGGCGAAAGTTAGGGACAAAAAGATAAACTAGAACAGGGTAAGGGGAATCAGGGATACCGGGCATGGAAGTTGGGGAGGTGGGTGGAAGAATAGGTCTCATTTAGTAATAACTGGGCAAGTGTTGAAGGAAAATGAGGAAGGGAGCCAAGAGGCTATCTGGGGAAGAGATTTCTGGGCAGAGGAATCTTCTAGAACAAAGGCCCTGTGATCTGGACTGGCATGTTGGGGAAATAGTGGGAACAACATGGAGCCCCATGTGATGGCAGTGGGGTGAGAGGGCTCAGAGTCATAGAGGACGGGGGTGGTGGGGCCAGATCCCTTAGGGCCCTGAGGAATGCAATAGGTTTGCTGGCTGACAAGAGGCAGGGGACAGGACAGAGATGAGAGGGCTGCACACACCCCTCACATACCTTCTGCTCAGGGTGCCAGGTGTTAGCCCGTGAGTGGGCTCCAGTCTTCACTCAGGCTGGCCTTACTTTTGGATTCCAGGCCCTGTTTGGAAGCGGTTGCAAACTGCATCTAAGTCTTTTGGCTTCCTTCAGTGTTGTCAACTTACATTCTGATATGCAGCTGCCTCCCACACCCCGGCCCGATTCGAAACAGCTTCATTGCCCACTGTTCACTGCAAATCTGGGCCAAGTTTCTTGCAAAAAGCCCGTCAGGGGGCTTTCACTTTGCCTCTGGCCCTTTGCACTTTCTCCTGCAGACCAGAGCCCCAGGGGACAAATCCTGGTTGCCCAAGTGGGTAACTCTGGTATATTTGGAGGTTTGACCAAAGCAGCTTTTGGAGGGGGTGGTATACAGTGGGGCTTTTGCAATTTTGAGAACTTTCTTGCAACCCCCTATGATAGGAGAACCTCTGCTGGTCCCTCTCTCTGGGCCTCTTGAGCTGAGAGCCGTCGGGGAAGCTTCTGGGAGGAAGCCAGGCAGCTTGGTCAATTGCAGGCCCCAGCAGACGTTAACTCCGATGAACCCTGCGCGAGGTTCTGGGCTTTGGACCAGTGGGCCCGGCCCATATTAATGTGTCAAAAGTGATCGAACTTTGCTCTCTGGCATCTGCTCCCGCCCCAGACCAAGCCAGTGGAAGCACCATTGACTGGACCTACAGCCAGGGCATCAAGTACTCCTTCACCTTCGAGCTCCGGGACACGGGGCGCTACGGCTTCCTGCTGCCGGCCTCCCAGATCGTCCCCACAGCCCAGGAGACGTGGCTGGCGCTCCGGACCATCATGGAACACACCCTGCAGCACCCCTACTGAACTGACCCTTCGGCACCTTCCTCTTCCTCCTCCCTGCCTGCCCCCTGCCCCCAGCAACAAATAAAGTTTGATTGTCCACGGAACAGAATCTGGGGGCTGGCGCGGAGGAGTGTCCTCGGCGTGTCTGCTTTTGCAAGCTAGGGCAGAAGGGGCTTAGTTCCCGCAGGCCTGGAGGGGAATGTGTGGGTGGTTGGGCTAGATGACCCCCAAACTCCCCTACATTCCAAGGTCCTCTGAAGTTGGATCCAAGTGGCATCTGTTTTAATTAGACCACCCTGCGCTCCACTCATCAGGGCGGCGACTGGTTCCTACCTCGGGGGCCAGTGCAGCCACAGCTGCTAACCAAATGCTGGGCACCCTGCAGGGGTGAGGAATTCCGTCTGCACAATAGTAAAGCTAGTTGGGTCCATTTATCTACAGAAGCAATAACTCGGGAGACGGACTAGAATAATCGTGGGGGCCACTGCTCTTTCAAAGACACGTCGCCGCCAGGCAGAGCAAACTTAATTAAGTCAGAAGAAAACAACTGGGTTCGATGAAAAATTTACTGAAGATAAAGAACAAACAGCAATCCCAGAACATTTTATTAGTTGTAGTACGTCACGAAGACTTTGCTTTTAGGGACAGAAGTAGCCTTATTTTTCATATGCCACATCCTTTCTGGCATGCTTCCATTTCCCTTCCTGTTTTACCCATTACCGCTTCCTTATCATCTGCACAATTCTTCAAATATAAGACTCTCCCTTTGATACTCTCCTTAGCTCCTAAAACTTGCTGATTTCCCTCCTTTGGCTTGTTGGTTCTGATGGCTGTGGTACGGCGCTGAGCGCTAGCACCACAAGACACTGGGCATCTCAACTTACTTCAAAGCAAGAATCTACCTGGTGTTTCTTCCCAATTTCTTCAGATGCCAATGTGGAGCAGGGGGTTACTCTACAGTAGTCACTGGGAAAGGGGTGAGGGTGGGTTGGTAGCTCCCCAAGAGTGAAGCTGACAGGTCAAGACGGCAGCCTTCCCCTGTGTGAGCCCGGTGGGGTGTCACATGGCATCCAGCTCTAAGGACTTAAGAGGCTTATCTTTTCCACAGCTCAAATGCCCTACTTTTGTTTTGCTACCAAACATTCCAGAAAACAAAAAGTGTGAGGAAGACTATACATGTAGTATATACAAACTTATATATATGTAGGTTTATGAGGCAAGGTAAAATGGTGTTTCAGTCTTTTTTTTTTTTTTTCTTTTTTCTTTTAAGATTTCATTTATTTGAGAGAGAGTGCACGAGGGCGAGCTGGGGGTAAGGGCAGAGGAAGAGGGAGAAGCAGACTGATCACAGAGCCCAATGCGGGGCTCAATTCCAGGACTCTAGAAATCATGACCTGAGCCGAAGGTAGCCGTTTAACCTACTGAGCCACCCAGGTAGCCCAGTATTTCAGTCTTTACAGAAAAATGACCTAAAGATTTTATAACACTTCCTTCAAGTTATCTTTTGGGAAATACTTCCATTTAATCTATGTAGATAGGCTGAAATCTATTTTAAGGGCTCAGTTTGGGCAAGTCAAATAAGCTGATCTTATTTTTTGCTTAAGATGGCAAAAGATAAGAAGAGATAAGCAAACAAATATTAATTTTAGCAAGGACACTTTATCTGACAAAATTGGATTACTTAGGCTTCAAGGATAGAATTGCTTAATTTAAAATAATCATGCTTCCTGATAGTGGGCACCACTTTGTTCGGCATTCAATGTCCAAAACCACCAACAGTAGTTGATATCTAGATGCCCAATAAATATTTGTTGAGCCAATGTTCTCTCCTTTTGCTTACAAATGAACTCACGAATTTTACAATCTGTATAGTGGAGGCTGGGGAGGTATTTTGAATTCCCCGAATGGTAGTTTAAAAAGTGAGGCTCTGAGCAAGTTAGTCTTAAGACACCTGACAAGATAAGGAACAGACCCCAGAAGGAAAATTCCATGAGGGCAGAGACTGCGTTGTTTTTTTTTTTAACACGTAATCCTCACCGGTAGGCCAAATACATGGCACACAGTAGGCACTTAATAAATATTTGTTAAATGGAGACATGGAACTTGTTAGTACTATGGTTTGTTCTTTTTTTTTTTTTTATTTCCAAGGGTAGGAAGAGGCTTATATTTTTATTTGCAGATACATATTTTTACAAATCTGGGGGCAAAAATTTTATTTTAGAACTAAAAACATAAAGCGTAAAGGGAAATGATAATTTTAGAAAACAGTGCAGCATATATGAAAAAGTATTAAAAACCTTGAGGAAAAAAGAGTTCTTATAAGTAAAAGGGGTTAAATAAAAAGGACTACCATTTTGAAAGATAAATAATCAATTCCCAAAAGAAGAAACAGAAAAAGTCAATAAACGTATGAGAGATAGCATTCCTCTGAGTGATTTTTTTGTACATTAAAGGAAAGCAAAGGAATCATTTTTCTCCCATCAGATTGACAAAGAAAAAAAAGACTGACAACTCAGTGTTATCAAGGGTATGAAGAAATAAGACCTGTCATGTACTACTGGTGTGAGGATAGATTGATGCCACCTTCCCGGGGGGAGGGGAGGGGGGGGACACAAAATAAATCAAAATTTCAAATGTATTGTTGCTTTGACCCAGAAAGTCCACTTGCAGAAATTTATTTTATAAAAATATTCAGACAAGTTCAAAGATATGTATGTAAAGGCTACAATAATGCAAAATTAAATAAAAAGGAAAAGAAGCCATTTGGGCACCAGTGTAGAGGCCCATTTTGACGTATTTGAACAATAGAGTAGTGTGAGGCCACTGCAGACCGTGTTGACATGAGGAAATGGGTCACAAAATACTGAGTGAAATGAAGCCAGCCACGCACTGAAAATGTTCTGAAATAGGATTGTGGTAATGGTTGCACAGCTCTGTAAATTTGCTGAGGGTCATCGAACTGTACCTTTAAAAATGCATGGCTTTTAGAGTATGGGATTTGTACTTCCATACAGTTGCTTAAAAAAATAAGAAGTTGGTTACAAAATAGTATGTTGAGTATGAATCTCATTTTTGTCTGAAACACACATACACATGCACACGAAGACACACTATGCCGGGAAGGATATATTCTCCAGTGATAATCGAGGTCACCCTGGGTAGTGGTGGTGGTGGTGGTGGTTTTCCTCTTTTCTGAATTTCTTGCAATAACCTTTAGAATCAGGAAAAAAACACAACTATTTCAAACATACCAAATACCCTGTGGGTAAAATTATCCAGAAGCAACTTAATATTAACATCCAACATTTCATGGCCAAATCTTAATTTGTGCCCAGGTTCTTTTTTATAATTTGCCTCAACTCATCTCTTCTGCTCTGGTGTCCTATTTCTCTACCTTGCCTAGAACGATGAATCTTACCTTCAGAAAAATGTATACTCCAGATAGATCTGGAAGCAGCAGTGTTTCTACCCAGGGAAGGGGTTTCCCCTGCTCCCAGCTGGGAGCTGTTCCCTGAGCAGTCCGCTGTAGCTCTGATGAAATCCCCCAAGAGCCCTTTCTGCTCGCATTTGGTTCCTGCAGCAATCTGGGGAACTGATTACGCTAATGCCTATTTTCCAGGGCCTTCCAAAAGTCTTTATTTTTAAATGAACACATTCGGCTTTTTTCTAACACCATTCTAGATGGTTCTCCATGTGGCCTGTGGGCCCTTGGTGGTCCACAAGAATCCTTCAGGTGGCCTCTTGAAGGGACACTCAGATATGCACGTGTAGCTTTCCGGTTTTGGCTTGAAGTTCAAATTGAAATGTCATTGACTACAATCCAGATATGACCTCACTGGTCCCTCATCCAGTGCAGTGCTACTCATCATCTCAGCGAGGGTTCTGCAAGGGCAAGTGGGGCCAGGTGGGTTTGAGGGTGCAGAAGGGCTCTTGTCCTAAGGACTCCAAGGACAGAAACATCATTCTGCAAACATCGTCAGCCCCAGGTGCTACTCCCAGGAAACTGATCTGACCAACCATCACATTCAAATCAGCCACATGAAGGAAGGACTCGGAGAGAGAGGCACAGAGGACCCATCAAATTGAAAAACTGTCACAGGGTAATGAATCTTCCCCAAAACTTTCAGGATCTGCATTAATTTGGCAACTCGAATTGTGAGTTGAGTTAATCGCCTAACAACCGCAGAGACAGAGACTGCCAAACGTTTATGGCCAAACGCAAAGAAGAAAATGAGAAGTCTCCTGCTCTACCACAGGGCGGGCATTCTGCTACATTTTGGGGAGACTGCAGTGGAGCAAATGCTCTGTGGACATGGAGGGAGGCAGAGGTTTGCCGCCGCTTTCCTCCCACGAGACCCAGGCCCGTGGACAGGAGCCAATTCCCGCAATTTACGTCTCAGTCTAAATCAGAGACCTCACCCCAAAGGAAAGGAACGATTGGACACAAATCATATCAATGTGGTTTATTAAATGAATAGTTCAATTTACGAAAACAGCCTCCTTCTTTTCTGACAGGTTAGAAGTTTGTAACTCCCGTTTTTTTTTTTTTTTTTAAAGATTTTATTTATTTATTTGACAGACAGAGATCACAAGTAGGCAGAGAGGCAGGCAGAGAGAGAGAGGAAGGGAAGCAGGCTCCCTGCTGAGCAGAGAGCCCGATGCGGGGCTCGATCCCAGGATCCTGGGATCATGACCTGAGCCGAAGGCAGCGGCTTTAACCCACTGAGCCACCCAGGCGCCCGTAACTCCCGTTTTTTAAGTGAGACCTCATTCGTGTTCATTCGGACACAGAATGGATTCCAGAAAGCCTGGCGCCCCTGCTCTCAGGACAGGCGGTGGGAGCCAGACAGACAGTGGATCTGTGGAAATACATACTCCCGGGAGCAGATGTGCGGTCTCTGAATTCCTGTTGCCTTTTGTGCAGGCCGAAGAGGACGAGCTTTTGGTGGGATTGCCGGGGACGAGGAGGGAATGGAGGCTGATACCTGAGGGCAAGTTGCATTCACGTTGGTGAATCGGGTTGTTACCGAGGGAGAGCGCAGTGCCTAGCTGATGTGGGTAGACAGAGCGGAGCGGTCAGGATGAACTTGCTCAGAAACCACGGTTCTCAGGTCGTCTCCAGGCTTCTCCATCTTTAGCTCAGGGGCTAGGGGCTCGAGACGAGTTGGTTAATTTCCACTGACTCCTCAGTCCCCTCACCTGAAAAATGGGGTGCCCCTCTCATGGGAACGTTGTGAGAACTGAACCAAAACACACCTGGAAGAGTCTAGAAACACGGCCTAACACACAGTTAAGCATGTTTGCTAGGATCATTATCTGGAGAGTTTTGAGATTTGAAACAAGGGAGAAAAAGAACCCACTCTCGGATGGGGACAGTGTACCACCTGTGTTTGATGAATTCCAAAGGCTACTGAGAGCCTGAGGGGACCATGAAAACGGGCCCGGGGGACTGCACATAGCTGGGTTAATAGTAACAGCCCTAACAGCTCCCAGAGTGCCCCCTGCAATGGGTAATCTAAAAATCTCAGGCTTGTGAATGCCTCTCCTACAAAAGCAGGATGTACACAGGGACAAAAGATAACGAGCTTGCCAGGGTCTCCAAAACGGCAGGCCGGCTCCCAGTGGCCCCCATAATGGGCACCCCACCCCAGACCGCAGTCCTGACAGCTTCGATGCGTTTATTCACGCACGCTTCCTAAAGATCACTGTCCCATCGCTGGTGATTTTCGCCCTCTGGGAGCTTATAGTCAAAGTAATGTCTACTGGAAGACGTATTTGCATCCTTTAAAAAAGGCAGTCCATCAGTCAGGAGCATTTAATAAGTGGCCTCTGTTTGCCACGCATCTTACCAGATGCCTCGAGATGTTACACAGGTGAAGAGCATTTGCTTCTGCGCTCAGAACAAAGGAGGATGGGCATCAGAGAGTGAGACCACCAGGGGATCGCGGATCGCGGCGTGACAAATGGACTTTTGTAAACACGTATAAAATCACGCACTGAATCCTGTTTTGTCAGAATTCAGTGCTGACAAATTTCCATCCTTACATTTTCCACGCCATAACGGACCTACGGATCAGCGGAAGGACACGGCGACAACAGTGTCAATAATTTCTACCGTTTTGGGAAAGTATTGCTACCCCAAACGTACTCTGAACACTCTGGGAGCACAGTGCATCTTATTTCCTGTTTTTATAGGAAAAAAATATATTTGTTAGTCAAAAAATTAATTGAACTGCATATAAGCATATCATTATGCCCACATAATTAAACTGATGAATTATAATGTATGTTTCTGATGCTTCTTGTAAAAAAGAAAAGAAAAGAAAAGTATTATAGGAATCATGCCTTTGAAAGAATTATGATGACTCTAAATGACCAAGAAAGACAATGACCATGGGCTGCAACTGGGGAAAGGAAGGTTCTTGGCGATAATCATCAGGTTGGGGGAAGAAGGCAGTCGGGGATGTAAATCCCGCTGGACAGAAATTAATGACAACCCCACCCCTGCCAAAATGTCGGATAACATAAAGACTGAATCTATAACCAATATGTGACATGACAGAACCCGAAACCAGCACAAGAAAAATTACCTACATCTTTCTTCCTAGCTGAGGACTCTGATTTCACTGATATTCCACCAGGGAATTGGGGAAAAGAAGGTTTTTGTTTTGTCCTGTTTTCTCGGTGAGTGGCCTGGAGTCTTAAGAATTTTTGTATAATCTCGATAGCTCCACAGGAAAAAAAAAAAAGTCCCTCAGCAACTAATGAACACTACTATTTGTTCTCTTGTAATTCTGATTTATAACAAGTCCGACATTACTGCGCTGATTTTGGTGTTCTACTAAAGGCAAAAAATAAAATTACTCTGAGGCCATTTGCATCGTTCTATACCTTCCAGTCGATTAACCCTGGCATTATTACAGCCCAAGATATGCTTTTCATTTTTGGGTGAGTAATGTAGCTCCCCCACCCTACCCCCCACAGCCCTCCACCCTTGCCATAGCCCCTCCCTCCTTTTCTTGCTTCTTTGCTTTTCTCTTTTCTTCCTTAAAGACACACCCCTTTTAAAGCACAGGGGTTATTATTTAGATTTTGGTTATCAGCACTGCTCAGGTGGAACTGCATTTATACATCATTAATGCAAGTGCCATCCTGTGGGGGGGTGGGGAGGGGTCACAGGTTCCCAGGTAAGTGCTGCCCAACAACCCCTGGAACACTGACAAGAAAGTCCTGCTGTGAGGTGCTTAAGGGACCACCAGCCCCTGCCTGAACATGAGGAGAAACCCAGGCCTTCTGTCTGGAGAGCTAAGGTCCCTCGCTCTGGTTGGAATGATGTCCTGATTTTTACACAAAGAATAAGTACCTTCTGGGGAGATGCCATGAAAAGAGGCATGTTTTCAAATCACTTCGGTCCTGCAGCCCCCCCAGATCATCTCCACAGAGAGGAAAAGAGAAGTTGGCAGATCTCAGCATATGAATAGCAAACAACAAATTAATAACTATGTACTTTAATCTTCAACATTCATAATTGCACAAAGTACCACCGATCACTTCAATAATACATGTCAGTTAATCCAATGAAGAAACTAACAGAGTAGAACATTCGAAGCAGTAACTCGAGCGTGTAAAAAACTGCGAGTGGACACTTAACACATAAAGAGCAGAATCAGAAGAGGTCTTTGAGGAGCAGTGATTTAAAATCCTTATCAACAGGCAAAGCGCTACAGAGAAACACACATAAATATATTCAACCTGCTAGATGTCGCAGCTAAATGCACAGCAATTCTATGAGGTCTGGCTACGGTGACTTTCCATATATATATATATATACACACACAAAGTAGGTTCTAATAGTCTAGGGGTGTTTGGTGATCGGAATGCAGAGTGGGAACAAAGGAGGACTACCATTCCTGTCAAAATAGAATTGAATGGGGAATCGAAACTCCTGACTAGTCAACTTTAAAATGGCATAAACAGAACTTTGTTACAGAGAGAGATTTTTTCCCCCCTTGAAAATGTATATGTGTCATAAATGGCTGAAAATCTTGTCCATGCTAGGGGAAAGTTGAGTGTGGAAAAATTTACATTTTAAAAAATCTATGCCGTAAAGAAAATAAAAAGCCAGAGCATTCTGGCATTAGCAAAAGGCTGAACTAAGTTCTCAGGCAATAAATTTATGGGGCAACATGACAGGCTCCTCATTAAAGCTATGCGTACGTTGGCTGCATTTTATACAGGATTCTTGAATCTTGTGGAAAATTGGGCACGGCTTGACATCTGAACAATGTCCCTGGTTTGTTTGATTTCTAAAGCGTCAGAATATGTTGCACTTTGGAAATCAAGTAGAGAAGAATAAACACACTAAAACAGAACTGGGCTGAATCTGAGAGTTATTTTTCCATATGTCTCTTTGAGATATTTATTACCTTTATTTCTCTTACAAACACAGCCCCCAACGCTAGAAATACAGAAATACTGTGGTACTTTTTTTCTTTCTTTCTTTTCTTTCTTTTTCTTTCCTTCCTTTTTTTTTTTTTTTTTTTTGGTGGCAAGAAAATGGTCCCATTAAGGCAAATCTTACCGGCAGCAGGAACCACCTAAGGACAGACAATTTTCAGTTGGCTTTTCAGAAGCCGGTTGCCATGACAAAGTGCACAATTTATTCCTCGGTCCCTTATCACAGCTACAAATCACAGACCATAAAAATTAACAAGGCTCTTTCCCTTTGCCTGATGATTTCGGAGTCCCTCATCCTTACCTGAGGTCTTTTGTTCCTCCAATTAAATGGAATGAATGTCAGTCACCTAGCAATTCAATTAATGCTGATTCAAAATTCTGGCCCAAACCAGAATCTACAATCACAACCTCCTAATCACAGCTCAGTCATGAGAATGAAAAGTAAGCAGGAAATTGCACTAATTACTCAATTAGACTAATACCGTATTTTAAAGCTAGGGCTTAAAGGGGCTGTCAGCCCTGACAAAGGACCATGGAGTTGTCCGCACCTTGTTTGCCTGAGGTCGCCCGACTGACGCTGCTGTTTTCAAGGGGCCATAATTTCTATCCATCCAAGATGGACGGACCCGAGCTGGGGAGTGGAAACGTACAATGGGGAGACCGACCGCCAGTGAGGGTCAGGTCGGGGTGGGCAGTGGGGGTGCGTCAGTGGCCCCCAACACAGGACCGCCCGGCACACAGGGCGTCCCGGTGAGGAGCCCTCATGCCCTGTGTGAAGGCATCGTTACAGGGCTGGTTCCCGGAAAACAGCCAGCGGGGAGGGACACTCAGGGAGTGTGAGGGTGGCTCTAACACACCTGAAAACCAAGCAATGCTCCAGGTGTCCCCCGTCGCCTCCCAATTCATGACAGACCAGTGGGCCCACAGCTAGGGGTGCTGAGAGGTGAGAAGCACCCACCCCCCAACCTTCCACACAACCCCACCCCGCCCCCCGCCCGAGATGGCTGCAGCAAAGTCCACCTGGAGAATCTTCATGAAACCAAGATCACTGAGTGAAAAAGAACTGCCTGGGAAGAACATACCAGATGGGACTGAAAAATTTACAAAACAATGCAGGATAGGACCCAATACAAGCTGGGCCTTTTTTTTTTTTTTTTTTAAAGGGCCTAAAACACGAGACTTTTTTTTTTTCCTGCTCAGTTTCAGAAACTTAAATATTCTGTAAACAACAGGGAGGACGCTAGAGCCTGTCATGCCTCTGGTTTTTGTAAAACTCCTTCCAAGCTGGATACAGGCAAGTGCTGGCCCCGGGGCAGAGGGAAGAGGGCCTGTTACACGTGGGGGTCTTTCCTGTGCAGCAGTTTCTGAAAATGACCAACTTGGGAACTGCCCAGGGGTTCCAAAAGGAGAAAAAGTATTTATTTGACTAAGACAGACAAAGTCTTTACTTCCAGGGCTTGCCTTGCAGGTGGCCGCTGTTGAGCGAGCGGGGGTTCGGGGGGCCGGTGGGGACCCCGGCAGGCAGGCTCTGACCGCTGCGGGTGCCTGGAACCTTGGAGTCTCTTCCGGAGGCGTTAGCTTGGCTCAGGCGGCCTGAGGGAGCGAGAAGGCAGGGGCGGAGCTGCAAGAATGACTCTGGGCACGATCTGCCAAGTACACTTTCAAGTTAATGAAGTCTTAGGGTACAACCACTTTTAAGCTAATGAAGTCCTATTCAGGGTCTACTTTAGGCTAAAACCTACTCTTCGTCCTTGAGATCAGCCTGAAGGTGGGGAAGGGGCAGGGAGGAAAGGAAGCCCAGAGAGCTTTTGCTTTTTTTTTTTTCCTCTTCCTCTCTGTTATCCCCAACCGGCCTAGCCTGGCCTTCATTCTTGGTAGAAATGGGTATAGGAAGGATTAGGCGAAAGAGAAGAGAAAGTAGTGTGCTCAAGGGAAGGCTAGATGGGGTTTCAAGGTGCCCAGAAGCCACAGAGGGAAACAAAGCCCATCGGAGAGGGAATCCTAGTGCCTCAACTTAGCCCCTCCGCTCTGCCTGGAATACGTACGCTATCCGACTGATAAACCCTTTCTCTTTCTCTGTCTATATGCAATGTCTAATTCTTCCCACAACCTAGGATCACCACCCCTTGTCTCACCCCTCCCCACACAGCACCCGCACATTCCCCATCCCCTACAAATATTTTAAGACTGAATATAAGAGATCAAACTTTTCGTACGAGGAGGTGATGTTCAAAGCTGCAAAGCTCAAAGGTCTACGGAAAACATGATCTCTAAAGGTCAAAATATCTTACTAGGATTGTCTGCAGGACCCTGCTCCTCTTCCAGGTAATATTCTATCTTTTTTAAGTCTTCTGGGGTAAATCTCCATTTATTCTCAGCTGGTAGGGGTGGCACTTTGGGGCTCGATCGTTTCCGGGCAGAGCCAGGAGGAAGGGCCTGCTGGCAAGACGCTGGCAGGGAACCCGTAATCAGTCCTTCTGGGAATTTCTGAGCTAAGACTTTTAGACCTGGGTGTGAAAGAGCATCAGAAAAAGCAGCGTTAACATAGTGAGGTGAGGGCCTGGGAAGGCAGCTGCCTGTCTCCTCATCTTTGGTCTTCCAGTCCGAGCCGGCACAAGGACGGGACATCTTAACTGCTTCTCCATGAAGCAGATTACACCAGAAAATGTCCATGGTTAGGCGGGATTCTGAGAATTCCACCAGAAATCCTTTTGCTCCAGTCTTCAGCATTAAGGTTTTTATCCCAGAGTCCTGTAGCAACAGCAGTATTTCAGGAATTAAAAACATGTGCTGACGGAGCTAAGAGAAGTTTCACAGAACTCCTGACCCTTTGCAGCCAGCGTGGTTCTCTCTCCTTCTAGAATTCGCAATTCTGAGCATGCACAGGAAAAGGGTGATAGGGGAGGGGGTCGAAGGGTTGTGAGTCCAAATATCTGTGTTTTCAATCCCAAACAGGGTACAGCCCACTCACCTCCGGAAAGCATGAAGAGGTTCTCGAAGCCCCGCTCACACATGGTGGTGGCTGCCTGGCTGGCTAGCCTCTCGTCATCGTCGTACAGAATGATGACCTTGCCGTGGGCATTTTTCTAAGAGTCACAGGAGTTAAGGTTCGCCCGCACTAGACTACCCAGAAACCCCCAAGGAACAAGGAATGGTCTAGGGTCACCTTCCTGAGTTCAGAGAGCGTTGAACAACCCCACTCTTTATTCTGCACATCAGTACTCTCTGTTTTTTTTTTTTTTCTCTTGTCATGGAAACCACAAGAGCTGGTATTCTTTTTTTTTTTTTTTTTTTTTTTTTTAATAAACGAGTATCACCGTGGTCCTAGACAGCACTAGCTCCACACCCCACACCCTTTAGCTCTTTTATCCTCACGGCCCTGAAAGGTATGACAATCTCCATTCACAGGTGAGGAAATAGAAAACCTCTCTGTCCCATGGGTCCACTGCAGCCTTATTTATGCTAGTAAAAAAAAGGAAACCCACCTAAAAGCCCATTAGAGAGGAAGAGCTTAGTAAATCATAGTATAGTATATAGTAAGACGAGATAATGTGCTGCATCAAAAATGGAGTTTATAAAGAGCTTGGATTAGCCTGGAGAAATACACTGTACTATGAACTAAGGAAAAGTCAAAATACTAAATTATATCTCCAGTATGATTTTTCCTTTGTTAAAAAGAATACAGAGAAGACAACTGGGAATAAAATATGCAAAAAACATAATCAGAGTTGTTCAGTTGTGCGATTATCAATCTTTTTAATATTTTTCAGTGCTTAAATTATTTTCTATTTGTGTCATTTTTATGAGCAAAGAAATTAAGTAAAATTTTAAGAAAGAAAAAATTTTAAGACAGAAAGAAAAAAAATTTACCTCTGAAGTTTTAGTTGGGAAAGCTTTCTTGGGGGCAAAAATGGTCTTAGGACTAACTCTCAACAGATCACAGACTTTAACCTAATGTTTTTTGGCCCACTGCGGGATGGCTTGGAAGCATCTGCCAGGCTGGTCAGGGTACTCAGCAACAGCTAAGAATCCAAATTCTAAAATATGCTAAGCAAGCTAATTAATATCAAAGGTCCTTTACAGAGTTTTTTTTCCCCTAGGAGCATGATTCATGATAAGTTTGACTCTTACAGTCCTCAAACCACCCAACTCCTTAAAATGCAACAAAGGATACATATTCAAGAATGTCATTTGAATAAGGGTTCATTGTTCTAGACAGAGTTGCAATTGGGTAACTGTAAGCTGCAAAGAGAAGAAAAAGCTCAGGCAGTTTGTAGCTCTCTGTACAACTTGGCCCCAAATTCCCAGCTGGTTTAAAGTTTAAAAGCTCAAAGAAACATACTTGCAAAATCCTCGAGCCATAAACCTAAATACTTTTTTGAGAGAAGAGAAACAGGGCACTATGAACACATTAGGAAGCTTCATGTCACCTTTGAGGACATTTAGCACTGGGCCCCAGAGCCATCTGGGAATGTCACCAGCCTCTCTCAAGAGCATTATGGCAGAGCCCAATTCCAGATTCCCATGATGGATCCCGCTAACAGAAAATCTCTTCAACTGCTGCCCCTGGGGTGTGGCTACAGCCTGCCAGGACTCTAGAACAGGCTCTGTTCTTGGAGTGAGACGCTAGAACACCTCCTCTCTCTCTTACCTCCAATAATGTGGCACTGCTGGTAAGAATCTCTGTCTCGCACATCTAGTAGCAGGAAGGGGCAGTCGGGGTAAGGTTTGTCTTTGGTGGTGGGCTCTGCTTTCTTCACTAGCCCTTTGTCTAGATCCAGTTCCCCAACACCACTGATGACGCTGCAAGTGAAAAGAAGGTCGGCAGAAACTAGTCAGGGGTGAGTGCCTTCAAGGTCAAATGCATTTCTTCAGAAGAGTCAGAGAGTGCTCAGTGTCTTTTCAAAGGGTACTTTAAAGAAAAAGGAAAATGGAAATGGTGTCTCGGTTCTGCCTCTGAATGCATGGCCATATGTATTCCTATTCTAGCACCCTGGGCCCCAAGGAAGGGACCCAGGCGTCCATCCATACTCACCTTCAGAGAATGCATGTTAGGTCATTAGCATGGCTGAGGGGGCGGAAACCGTTGGGCACATGCCACCTCCAGCAACAAGGACAGCATTCAGAGAAAGAAAGAGGCCAACAGTTAATCTAATGGAATTGTGAGGAGTGTAAGAAATCAGAACAAAATGGGAAAGAATAAGGTTGGTAGGACAGGAAAAAGGAAGGCTTTCTATGTACATTAGATGCACTAGAAACCAACATCGTGGGGTGCCTGGGTGGCTCAGACATTAAGCATCTGCCTTCGGCTCAGGTCATGATCCCAGAGTCCTGGAATCGAGCTCCGCATTGGGCTCCCTGCTCAGCGGGAAGGCTGCTTCTCCCTCTTTTACTCCCCCTGCTTGTGTTCCTTTTCTCACTGTGTCAAATAAATAAATAAAATCTTTAAAAAAAAAAAAAACAACAAAACAACCCAACATCATTTTAATGTTTCTTATCTATTTATACAACGACTTATCCGATAGGTATTTTGACCCTTAATGTCTTCAAAAGTTATCTGTACTTACTCCCAGTTTATAGGTGACAGTGTTGAGGCTGAAGAGGCTTTTAGATTTGGTGATATTCATATAATGAGACAGAGGAAATACTAGGATTAAATGAAAGAGCTCGCTATTGACAGTTATGTTTCTAAGGTCATAAAACTGGTTGCCATATTAAGATTACAGACAAAATGTGGTAAAAAATATGAATCAAAGGCTTAAGAGGAGTGGGTGTTATGAACAAAAGGGTAAGGAGTGAAATGCCTGTATTGAAGTAAGAGGACGCCCTTCCCAGGCAAATCTGACGACGTGTCCCCTGATGGCTCCTCTCCCCGCACGGGAAAATCAGATTCTGCACTTAGACCTGTTCATGCTGTAACTAGATGCCAGCAAGGGCCCATTTTGTCACACCAAAGAAGAAGAAAATCTATTCCCTATGAAGCTGCACCCTCAGTGGAAGTCTTGTTGGTCCACATGGCTAATTCCAATTTTAGAGTTTTTGCGTGAAATAGTTATAAAAAAAATAATAGTAGTACTGGGGCACCTGGGTGGCTCAGTCGGTTAAGCGTCTGCCTTTGGCTGCGTTCAAGATTGCAGGGTCCTGGGATGGAGCCCCGCATGGAGCTCTCTGCTAAATGGGGAGTCTTCTTCCCCCTCCTCCTCTGCCCCTCCCCCTCCATTTGTGCTCTCTCTGTCTCTCAAATAAATTAAATCTTAAAAAAATAATAGTGGTACTGATGATAGCAATTCGTTCTCTAGCAGACTTAGTTTCTCTGGCACAACTGTTTTGCTTGTAGAAGGGATGGTCGTGTGCTGAAAATCAGCACCAACCTATAAGCAACACCTAATATCTGTGAGAAAGTGTAGCATCGTAGTCTATGCAGCAAGGAGGACCAGTCCCGAGCCGTTGGAGAACTGATGCCAGAGGCTGCTTTCACGCTCCTTTGCACCTGCGTAATATCAGAGCAGGGCGTATGGCACTCTATTTTTCCTCTGATTCCAGACAGGGTAATTATAAGCTGTGGCAGACAGAAAAGGGGGCGGGAGTGGGAATCAGAAGATAGTAGTTGTAAAGCTAAGTCCTAATAGCAAACCTGCATCCAGGAAGGCTGAGAAGGATGGAATTAGGGAGTGGAAATGAATGCTCTCCTAGCAATATACTCTCATCCTCGCTAAGATGCTGTGAAAAGATTCAGGCGGTGGCATTTATACCAAGAGAAAATTAGAAGGGCTGCGGTGAAAATTCAGGACTTGACTACTGCCAGTCTGTTTCTACGGCGACTAAATCACTGAAACTGTTACCCAGATGAGTATGAAGTCAAATGCAGGGAAAACCCTGGACCCGATGAGCGATAAGCGTACCTCTGCAGAGTCGAGCGGTTGGAGTCCCCTGCTCCCGTGCTGCTTAGGACCTGCATGGGGCTTGGCGACTGCTCCCCGGGGCTCCCCTTCCCGTTGGTCCTGGCACCGATTTCCCTGTCATCGGGCTCTGAAGTCGTTGAGGACTCATGGTCTAAGATTTGCAACGGGATAAATAAGTGAAGTTGACCTCCGAGTGTATTCACGTGTGCGGCAGCCCCCTTGAAATTAGGTCAAGACAGGGAAATTCCATCATGGTTTTAAAACTGTCCCGGAAGTTCTAACATCTAGGACCCCAGGAGTCCCTGAGACCTGTTCAGGGGCACCTGCGAGGTCTCTCCTACTGTGTTGATATTTGCACGAATGGTGCCAAAGTGATGGGGGCTACAACCATGAGCACCTGAGCCACAATCAGGGCAGAGGCATCGAGTTTTATTAGTGACCGTCATATTTGTTCACCATCATGGATGCGCTCGGTTCATAAATAGGACAGTCACGTTGGGAAAAAGTCCCCAGTGGAGCCATAATCATGATTCTATTAAATCTCATCTTCAAGTATACACCTTTTGAATATTCCGTGGGATGAAATGGGGAGTCCGCATATAGCAAGTCGGCTCCAAACCAAGATGCACAATGGTTGTCTCGAGGGAAAGTATTAGTGTGATTAGTGCTGTTTTTGCCCTGAACACCATTTTTACTTGGAAGGAAAACTGACAGAAAAATTATAGTTACTTAGACTTGTGCACGTGGCAGACATTTTCTCAAAAATGATCTCAGCGGATTGTCATTACAAGGAAAACAACTGATGGTATCTGTTGTGATGATTCAATTTTGAAAAAAAAAATCAGAATTTTGGAAACCCTGTTTGTGCCATCAGGAGCTTGACTGCCTCCCTGTACTTAATGACTTTTCTGATAAGATAGGTGGTGGGTTTAATAAATATGATTTTTTTGGATATTGTAATGAATGAAATTTGTCAATGTTTGGAAGATCTTCATAACTCGGTGAATCAATCTTTTCCAAATGACCAATGGATGATGTTATAAAATCATGCATGGGTAAGATTAATTCAAAGTACACGACAGACCGATGGGTTTAATGGAACAGAGTATGAAACCCGCATTGATATGGTTTCAGGTTCCACATTACAACTAGGTTTTAGTATAGTATTGAAGATATGTATCCACAATTATCTGAAAGGGCTATTAAAAGATTCTCCCTTTTTAAACTACAGATCCATGTGAGGCTAGATCTTCTCCATGTACTTCAACCCAAACAGCATATTGCAATGGACTGAATGCAGAAGCCATGAGAATCAGCTGTCTACTATTCAATCAGACATCGAGATTTACAAAAAAATATAAAACGATATTATGCTCAGTAAACTTTTTTTTCGTTTTGGAAATACAACTATTTTGCATAAAAATGTTATTTATGTTTGCAATGGGTTCAGTATCACTATTTGTAAATGAAATAGTAAATATTTTTAAGTTCTCAGTTAAAATTTTTAATATCCTAAATATTAGCAGATATAATGTCCATAAACCAAAATTCTTTGAGGTCCTCAATTTCAGAGTGTGGAGGGAGACTATACCAAAAAGTTTGAGAATTCGCTATTCTAACTGGTACAGTGAGAGAAGAAATAGAACTAAGAGGCCTAGTTATCGAAGAGAATATTAACATTTACTTTGCATATGATATATATATATATATATATATATACCTAGAAACTTCAGAAGAATCCTATGAGCATAAGGGAAATAAGTATGTGGTTAAATTTAAAAAAAAAGAAATACTAAAAAACTACTTTTTTTAATATGCCAATTAGAAAGGAATATGATCAGCATCTCGTTTACAGTAACAACTGCAAATATAAGATATCCTCTCCTCGAAGATAAGCCTATTAAGACATGTAAAGGACCTGTAAAAACTTACAACCTTTATAGGTCTTCTATAAATTTTACTTAAGAGACATTAAAGACAATCTGAATGAAGACAGTGATGGACCTTCACATTCCTGACTGGGTGACTAAAAGTGAAATGATATTCTTTCCAAACTTAATTTTTAGACATAAAACAATCCCAATGGGATTTCTGAAAAGCTTAAAGGGATTTTAAATATGAGAGAGAAACAAAATTTATATATATAAAATATTATATATGTAATATAAAATATATGTAAATATTTTATATTACATATCATATACACACACAGACATGCATACAAACATATGGGTAATTTAGAGACTATGCCTTAGCAAATAGTAACATATATTGCAAAGATAAATGACCACAAGAATGCTGAACCACAAACCAGAACAATGGAATATGAGAACACAGAAATAAAACCTAGAATATACATAAAAAGCTAATATATATGTTAAAGGTAACATCACAAATCAGTGGGTAAAGGGAGAACGACTGAGTAGATGATGGTGGGATATCGTGCCTACTAACTAGAAAAATCAAATTTAGAAAGCCCCCTCGCATCATATACCAAAATATTAACAAATAGATTGATGTAGGAAAACAAACAAACAACAAAGCTAACAAAAGAAAGTACAGGTGAATCATTTATCTTGTTTTGGATTTTATGAGCCTAAGGCAATAAAAGAAACACAACATGAAAGGCTAATAGATTTAATCTTGTAAAAATGCAACAAACCTCGTGTATGTCAAAAACCAACATGAAAATTAAAAGGTAAGTAACAAATTAGGAAAAATATCTATGACCTAGATGCATGAGAAAAGGTTAATATACTTAATTTACAAAGTGTTTTTTAATTACCTAGTGCTTTAATTGAAAAAAGATCCCATGCACAAGGTAAAAATGCAAACAAGATAAAACTATTAATAGGGAAAGGGAAGTCCCTTCCCACTGCAGACCCATAGGCCCTCAGGCTCCTCTCCCAAGGGAACTACATTCAGAGATTTATGTCTCCTTCCAGAAATAAAATAACCATGGACTTTAGCATCTATTTTATTTCTTCCCCTTTTTACATATCAGGAGAATGCCATTCATACTGCTCTACACTTTGGTTTTTTGTTTTGTTGTTTTATTTTTACTTAATGATATAGCTTGAAAACTGTTCCAAATCATTAAGTAAAGCTTTTTCTCATTCATTTTCAAGGCTGTACTGGTTTCCAATATTTAAAGATATCCTAATACACAGAGCTTCTACAAATCAGTAAAAGATGGACATACCACAAGAGGAAAAAAATGGGGAAGGACATGTAATGTTCTCAGAAGAAACAGGTATGACCAACAAATACATACGTACAACAAAGGTCTATTTCATGATCAGAGAGATTCAAAGGAAAATTATTAGATACCACTTTTCATCTACCAAACTGGCAAACTTTTGCAAAAATGTTAATTATTCAGCAATGCCTAGGATGAAGAGAAACAGGTCTTCTCATTTATTTGTTGGGAATGCGAACAGGAAGAACCATTCTGGAGATAATGTGGAATCAGCATCCAGCATCTTCAAACGGTTCTATCCTTCGACCACTGCAGCCATTTATCTTCAGGGAACAATCGGAAGCACACGGACGCTTATGTATTTACATTACAGCATTGTTTTATAATAGTGAGAAATTAGAAAAACTGTAATGTCCAATAGGAGAATAATTAAATAAATTATGGTATATTCCCAGGACAGGCATTATATGACAACATAACCTTCATAATTCAGGTTTTGAAGCCCATTTAATGACACAGGATAGTATGCATGATAAAATGTTAATTTGAAACAGCACAATTCACAAGTATGCCCAAAGAGAAGGGATTTGGCTGGGCAGTTAGATAGGGGTAAAATACAGCAAAATGTTAGCAGGGATTATTTAATTTTTTTTATATAGGTTTTTTTTTTTTTTTTTTTGCTGTTTTCTAATTTTCTAGAAATACACTTTTAAGTCAGGAAAAAAACAATAAATATTACAAAAGGAGATTTTTTTTTTATTCCTTCAAAAATAGCCAATATGCATACAATCTGTTCTACAGGCATTCCTGAGTGAGTTATTATTCTGTGTAGAGCACTAGAAAAACACTAATATTACTCACACATTATGGTGTCCTACTTTATAAGAGCCTATTTTGCTGTGCAAATTCATCTCAGAAGAGAAAATTGCATGTGCCCATATGTTCCAGTGCTGCAATTGCAATGAATTAAAGGACCAAATCCAGGTACTTATATAACCAGGTTAAAATTGGGAGTACTTCTATGAGGAGACTCAATTATCTCTGTTACAAAGAGCCCTTATTTTTCTGCCGTGTGAGAGGCATCTGTCAGAGATAAATTCCTGTCTTTGTCAGATGCTCTTTATCCTCCCTAACAAAAACAAGACCAGGGAGATGACAGTTAAGTCGCACAAAACCAGGGCTCGGACTTCCTGAGAAACTTGTCTTGAAATCAGAAGTCAGATTCCTGGCCTCCATCAACCTTCACAGAACACATTTCCCTTCAGTAAACAGCCGCACATTGACCGTTGAGTACCTCAGGATAAAATAAAGACCTTAACTCTGTGTATTCTTTTTCATTATAGTACAACTAAGAGGTTTTATTTTCCACTCAGTGTTTCAGAAAGGAAACCTGGAGCTTCTAGAAGCCTATCTTCCTGGCCCTATCTCCAACCCAGCACCCATTCCACCCCCAACTTCTGGTCACCCCGCGGCCGCCAGGCTGGATGACTTGTCCCCCAAACTCACTTGGAGCTTCTCATTCTCCGCATGCCTTTCTTTGCTCAGGTTGCAAGAACCTCACCCTTAACTTGCACCCTGTTGAGATGCTACCCTCCTTTATGGCCCAGTTCAAAAGCTTTTTAAGAAAGCCTATCTCAGTTTTCTAACTGGAAAGTACATTTCCTTCCTCAGAACTCCCATAGCAAAGACACTGATTGTTACAAGACACCTGCAAATCTGTGTATCCTGCGCCCATTCCTTACTGGCTGTGTCACCTTGAGCAAGTAATGTAACCTCTGAGGCTTGGGCTTCTCATCTCTCAAGTGTACCTTCTAGAGTTTTCGATAAGATTAAATAAGAAAACTTGAGTGCAGTACTTAGCAATATATATTCAACAAATGATGGCTTCTCTCCAGTTCTCCATTATGAATTTCTGTCACGTTCGTGATTTTGTGCTTCTGTTCCTGCTCTCCTCATCCAGCACACACACTTGCGGCTACCAGCTCCATGTAAGCAGAGCGGGCATTGTTCATCTCTGTGGTCTCCTAGCACCTAATACTGTGACCTATGCATATAGAGAAGGCACTAAAAATATTTGTTGGAAAGTAATTAGTATATTAAACACATCAAAAACATTTAAAACTACAAATGTTAGAGCCAGAAAACCAGACGGCTTTTTGAAAATAAATAAGAATTAACAATTAAAGCACCAGACAGCGTTTTCTCAGAGAGTAACAATCTAATTGCAAATAGATCCATCAAAGTCCCAGCTCTCTGTGAACACAGCAGCGAAGGCAGACGGGGCAAGCACTTCGGTCAAATGGTCAATCACTTATCTACCCCACATCCTTGATTCCCATTACCTTCTAGCCTTAGAATCTCTTCAGCTGTCACTTCCAGTGTCTGATCAGATAGGGAAGCAACTTGGATGACCTGATAGAAGAAAGAATGAAATGTATAGATGCATATGTTTGTCTTTAAACAGAAGCAATTTTGTCTTTTATAAAAGATGAGGAAACATCAAACATCAAAGATCTCTGGGTTTAAGGAACCGTCAGTGTCCTCCACTGGAGACTAAATCTCAGGCCTCCTTATTTTGGGAGTGGTAATCATACCGCACGCAAATGATGGTTCCAGAAAAAAAAGCTTCATTTAAAACATCACTTAATAAACTAAAAAGACCAAAAGGGCAATTGGGGACAAGAAACGGGAATAAATAATCATATATATTTCAGTCTCAACGTGCAGTTCTTACAATGACGGAACTGAATCAACAGCTCTACATGCAATGAGGAAATAAATGTAATTATAAACATATTCAGCACAGCACTGTATACCTATACACAGTTTCTAAAGCACTTTTCACAGCTCAGCTCCTATGACCCAAGATCTACCTTGAGGTACACCAATGAAACTCATGTTTGGGGGGCCCAAGAGACACTTTGTCCATAATTTTCAAATGAAAGAAGAAAGTGACTTTCCCAAAGTAACAAATAGCCCATAGCAATCACCTGGTTTCACGGAGAAAAACATCCAAACAATCCAAAGACCACAATTCTAGATTCTAAATATTAAGTTAAAGGGTGCAAGGAAAACAAACAAACAAACCTAAGCCATAGCATTATGACTGAAAGGCAGAATGTGCATTTTATAAAATTCTTACCAAAGAAGACTGTTCCATACTACCCTTGAGCGAGCACACACACCACACATCAATCCTCCCGTAGGTGTAAAGAATCAGAAGGAAGTCTTCTGCAAACATTACCTAGCGTGGTATTCGAAATACTCACATAAACCAGCGCAAATTAGAGTCTTTACTCCAAAGGATTTTAGTTAAACTTACCAGCTGGGCAAAAGTTGTAACTTTTAGTCTCTTGAAAAGCTCATCCTTTTTGTATCTATAATCTGAAAAGTAGGATAGGACAAATAATTTTCTAGGTATATTTTTCTTAGAGGTACTCATTCTTTCTACCCATCAAGTTAGACAGTGTAATTTTCAAGTGATTTATTTGTTTTTACATATCCTATCTCATATAGGATCCTCACGGTATGGTCAAAATGAAGTGTGCCACACATTTTTATCACCTCTATATTCCCACCTTTGCTTTGGCTGGTAGGAAGCCTAAAGTCAATTTATAAGTCATCTTTTTGTGTCTGGTGACTTTACCCCTTGCATTTTTTCTATCTGCTTACCATTTTCCCCTTTTACTTCTGCTGTCTTTCTTTCTTTTGACCACTGTTGTATTACATGCATTTTATAAGACACTTTAAATCCTCTTCCCAACAAAGAGGGTAGGGGGGAATAAACGCCTGCATTTTGCAAATGAGGACAGAGACCCAGAGAAGCTCAGTTGCCCCAGGTCAAACAGCTGGTAAGACATTCACACCCTATTATTCTAACTCTGCCCTGAAGGGAGAACGGTTCTGTTCCTGAGGTTACAAATTATGCTGGAGACACAGGACAACCTCCCCCCACCTCTGCCCCAATCACCACCGCCACTGCCACTGCGCTGGGCACAAAGTTAGGCCTGGTGCTGATAATCTTTTCTATCAGTTTCTCCGCAACTCCACTTCCGTAAAAATCCACCTACTCAGTGTTCCAAGATGAAAAAGTTCCCGAGATCTGTCGTGTGCAGCAGTGTCACATTTAAAAATGGTGAAAAGGGGGGCATCTGGGTGGCTCAGTGGGTTAAAGCCTCTGCCTTTGGCTCAGGTCATGATCCCAGAGTCCTGGGATCTAGCCCCACATTGGGTTCTCTGCTCCATGGGGAGCCTGCTTCCTCCTCTCTCTCTGCCTGCCTCTCTGCCTACTTGTGATCTCTGTCTGCCAAATAAATAAATAAAATCTTTAAAAAATATATATATAAATAAATTAAAAAAATAAAAATGGTGAAGATGGTACATTTTATGTTAGGTGTTTTTTGTTGTTGTTGTTGTTGTTGTTTTCTTTTTAACCACAGTTAAAAAAAATCATCCTCCTGAAACATCAGTATTTATTCAGCTCTATCTTGACAGTCCTGAGACATAACTCAAATGGGGGCAACTTTTAGGCTTGTTTGTTAACAGTTCCTCATATCACATTGAAAGGTCTTAAAATTTAGCCAGTCTCACACGATCTAGTATCTGTCCCACAGAGGCATGTTAAAAGTTAGCTTCCTTAAAATTTCCTGAAGATAACTGCCAATTCTGAAGAGTTTTCAGCATGGAACTCCCACCCACCCTCACGCTTCCCTTCATCTCTACATTTTTATATTGGCGCCATGATTCTTTAAGTACTTCCTCATTAATTCCGAATTACTCAAGGTTAGGTGGATAATCACTATGGCCTTCACAGGGTAGAAGTCGCATAAACTGAGACTCCTAGCAACAAAGGAAAGGATTAAAGGTATTTAAAATTATTTACCTGGTGTTACTAATCATTTCCATGAATTATCCAAAAACCAACACAGAACGAATCCTTTGGAGGATGTTAGCTTGGTTGACCAAAACACCTTATGACTCAAGAGTCAGGAAATAATAGTACTTCAAAAACTAGACTTCTGTCACTATATCAAGACTCTTTGTTACAATGAATTCAAGCTTCTCTGCTCTGCGATGTCTCAAAGAGAGACAGGTGGCTAATAACTAACCAATTACTTCTAGATAAGTTTCATAATAGCTTCTTCTGAATACAAGGTAACAAACCTAGATGCAAAGGAGCCTCTAAGACCCACAAGGATGCAGACCCAAGACTACCACCAACCTGCCCACCAAAAGTCATTTATGTCCATCACAGTGGCAATAAAATAAGCCAATCAAGAGAGTCAACAATTTTCAAGTAGCTTGCTCTGTGGCATTTCTCCACTGACAAGTAGTTACATAGTTTGAAATACTTCTCCACTTCTTCACATTCCCAGTACAAAATGTACCCATCCAAATCCCCTTTGACAAAGTAGAAATGATCTCAAACGAAAAATAGGCTCTCGTCTATTCTGCTGACTGGCATATCGAGGATCCTCTCATAGGCACTCAGAACCCCGCTGTACATTTGAACCTGAACTCTACATACCTGGTTCTTGTTTAGAAGGACAGCCATCGTTAGGACTCTCTGACATTCTTACTCAGAGATAAAAGATCGACCTGGACGTTTTACTAGTAAGTTTTAAAGTTTATTAAAAAGGCTGACTTGGAAAGCTCTGTCAGTCTGGCCTTGCAAGGGCGAACAGAGCTTTAAGAATGGAGCTTCTGCTACCCTCACTTCTCCCAAACTCCGGGATGAAGACAAAAAAATCCTAGTTTCAGATATGTTATCAAGTTTTGCTTCTCCGGTAAGTGCGGAGTCTCAGGCTGGCTCTCTCGAGTTACTGGAAGGACAGAGACCTGACTATCTAGGATGTTCACACTGGGTTCAGCTAGTGTCATCCAACCAGCAGAAGCCAAGAATAGGCATTGTGAGCAGTCAATAGACACAGAGTGTCTATTTTCCTGAGACAGAGCAGAAAGAATATTCAGATTACAAAGGAATTCTGCGTTTTCAGGGTTCTATTAAAACACGTTAGTAGCAAAGGGAAGTTGGGTTCACAGTGGAAGACAAATCAAAGGAAGTAAGAGAACAAGGTTTGTGATTTCACAGAAAGACATGGCATCTAAGGTAACCCGAGAAAAGTGAGCGGTCTAGGGTGTCACGAAACAAGGCGATATTCTCCTCCCTTGTGACCCAAAAGAACATCTACAGCAGAAAATGGGGAAAGAGCTTCTAAAATGTAGATCTCAAACCAGAATCTGAAGTAATTCTAGTCAGGGAATCAGCACAAAGTGTGTGAAACAAAGTGAGAGGAGCCTCCTGTCTTACTAAAAGGAAGCCCAAAACTTCTAAAGAGGGAAGCAAACATTTTCAAGGACTTTATCTAGAGGTATTTGGGTGTGGGGGGGTAGAGAGGGGGAGACAAGCTCCATTTGAAGTTTAGATATTAGGGAAACCACATTGTGCTTTTTTTTTTTTTTTAAGATTTTATTTATTCATTTGACAGAGAGAAAGATCACAAGTCGGGACAGAGGCAGGCAGAGATATGGGGGAAGCAGGCTCCACGCTGAGCAGAGAGCCCAATGTGGGGCTCGATCCCAGGACCCTGAGACCATGACCAGAGCCGAAGGCAGAGGCCCAACCCACTGAGCCACCCAGGCGCCCCCACATTGTGCTTTTAAGAAATGTTTTAAACAGGGTTCCGCAATCTGGGTGGAATGGGACATTTTCAGAGGACAAATCTTGGTGTGGACATGAGTGCTTACACTAAGCTACGAATTGATAGGAGGCAAAAGGGATTGCAAGCCCAACCAGAAGCAAGCCAGCTGAATTTTACCTGCTGTGGATGAACTAAGGATGACAACAATGAGGCACGGGTGAGTAATGAGATTTTTTTCCAAATAAGTTTAAAATAGTAAAATGTGCTCCCCCCCCCTCTCTCTCTCCCTCTCTCTCTCTCTATATATACTTACGTAATGTAAAGTATAATAAAAGTACAAAATCTGATATAAATGATTGAAGAAGAAAAGGATGGTGTGACAATTACACAGGAAAAAACAAATGTCTGTAACAGCCCTTACAGCCAAACACGGCAACCAGCAGGGTCACAGCATAAAGCCACCCCTGAGTCCCCACGCTATTGGCTAGGGTTTCTTAATGCCGCAGCAATTCAAAAGAAGCAGAAACATTATCATTTAAATTAGAAGGCCTGTTATAAAAAGGGAAGTTCTGGTGAATTCTGGGTTTGTAATGTTCTCTTCCCAAAGGATGTGTATTACCAGAGTGAAGTCCTGAACTGGGAACCATTAGAGGGCCTCTTGCCTCCCATTAGCTAACTACTCTCCTGGCACCAGGTTCCTCTACTGAGGAGATGGACAAATCCATCTTAGGAAACAGATGTTTCTACTTCTTTCATTCTGGCTTGGTGTATACACTTTCCATCCATTTTGGACACAAGTTGAAAAATTAAGATTTTGTGCAAGGGCGATGTACTCGGTGACTAGTAGCTTATCTTGAAAGCAGATTAGTTTGTAAAAAGGACGTGCATGAAATATGATTTTTAATTAAAGGAAAGCAGACTGCAATGAATTTAGAAGGCATGGCAACACCACTTAAGACTAAGCTTGTTCCCTCTCGCCCCCCCATGTCTTTCATGAATAACCGACTAATTTATACGCCAAAGGAGGCTATGAAAGGAGAGGTAGTATGCTTACTATCTCAGGCATAGAAAAAACGAAGAAGACAAGAAAGATCATGACCTTGAAAAAGGTCGTGGAGATTGCAGTCCAGTGAAACAAGAAGCTCGGACTCTCACTGCCTAACTAGAGAGCTCATTCTGCATTCTAACACTAACATCTCCTGTGGGATGTTAGCTGGGCAGAACTCAGCCCTCAGGCGACAACCTTAGCAGCTGGCTGGGATGGTACAAGGGTTTCCCACATCCTCCTTGGCACCTGCCAGGCTCGCCTGCCTCCCATAGCTCTCTATGCCTGTCGGCTGTAGGATGGGGCTAAGGTTGTTAATAACCTACTTCTAGAACTTCAGGGCTCCATTATCCCAGAACATCGATAGTGTTACTCACTTTTTTTGATCTCTTCTAGCTTCTCTGTGTATTTAGTCATACTGTTACCTAGAAAGAGAATAAAACAGGCTTTTGGTAGAAGAAAATGAACGAACACTGCAAAAACAGAATGGAGTACAAGTATTCCCTTAGCCTTCCTATCCTCTTCTTATGGAATCATAGTAGGTAAATTGGACCACATTAACAGTCTTTTGGATTATATAGCCTCGTTAAACGATGAGGAATCAAGGGGAAAGTATTGGTCACAGGTCTTGAAAGGGTACACACTCAGTAAACACTAAGAAGTCCCAGGCCATACAAATAATCACTTTATATAACCTTTTTTTTTTTTTTCTTTTTGAGTCAAGACTTTCCTCCTCCCTTTATTCTCCCATAATCTTTCTGTGGCGAAAATGTGCCAATAAGAAAGAAAGAAGCAAGGATCTCTCTGAATGTCTAAAATGTGCTGCTGTGGCTACCCAAGCAAGCCCTTGCCCTCTGCTTAGTCTTTGTGGTTTCCCTTGCTTTCCTGAACTTGGGTCTTCAACTTTTCTTGCTGATGTTGCAGCCTGAAGTAGACCACACAGTCTGTGCCCTAGTATTCACCATGGATTTGATCTGCTAAGAAATAACAGCAAATTCCCACCATTGCGGAGAGCACTGAGCCCTCGTGTTCTATAGCCTGGTTCTACAATACTGGGGCTAGCCAAGGTGGTTTGGAGGGTTTCCATACACTAAAACTGGGCCAGGATCCTTTTGGTTTCCAAACGAACTAAAGGTCTAGTTCCCAAGCTAGGGGCTATTATTTTTTACTGGGCATGCTTCAATTTGATTCAACACAGCAAGCTTTGCCTGGCATTCGAAAGATACAGCAAAAAAGGGGAAAACTGTTTCAAAGTTTTCTCATTTTGAAAATTGTGCTAACTTTTAAGCTTTGGGAGGAGCTAGTCCGATTCAGTCCAACTTCAGATAAAAGAAATGCTTTCAATTAATGGCACGAACTGATGTTTTTTAAGGACTAGCCTGAGCCTTTCTTCATGTTTTAGGTCAGAAGTAGAGAAGATTCTTGCTCTGAAACTCAAAATACATCTTCAAAACAAAACAAAAAACTTACATCATGTTATTTTATCTTTACTTATAAATTCATCAGAGAATAAAATTCCACTGAGTTAAAAACACTTGTTCTTTTTTTTTTTTTCCACCTGAAGACACACATTGTCCGGATCAGGATGAGACAGCAGGACACAGTGTAGCCCTAGAGCCAGATTGTGGCCTTCCAAAAGCTCAGAGAGACATGACAGCAGTCAGGACTGCTGAAACGCCTGAGACTTCTCAGGAGAGACCCTGAAAATGGCTAAGAGATTCAAACAGCACCCCAGACCAACATAGCATCAAATATGATCTTTTCTAGGTTCTTCAGCTGGAAGTGACCCGAGATGTGACCAGATTTCTGGAGTGGGAGCCACAAATTCTTCCTTAACATACACCCTTCTCCCTTTGCAACTTTGACCTCAGGTGGGAACCCACTGGTCAATACAATGGGGAAGACATGGCAAATGTCTCATTCCTAAACTATTTTACATAACAGCTTTTGGTCACGGGTGTTCCTGAGTCCCCTATATTTGTGTGTTGCTGACCCAGCAGTTAGCTTCTTTTGGCCTGGCAGCTTCAGGCGGTCTCGTCAGAAGGCTGAGGTACAGGGGCATCTGGATGGCTCGGATGGTTGAGTGTTTGCCTTCGGCTCCAGTCATGATCCCAGGGTCCTGGGATCGAACCCCATATTGGGGCTCCCTGCTCAGCGGGGAGCCTGCTTCTCCCTCTCCAGTTCCCCCCTTGCTTGTGTTCCCTCTCTCACTGTCTCTGTTATAAATAAATAAGATCTTAAAAAAAAAAAAAAAAAAGGAGGCTGAAGTACAAAAAGGATCACTGATTTGTCCAGTGACACAGCAAATGAATAACTAAGCCGGGCTGAATGTTCCCAACCTCCTGATTTGTAATATGGCTCACGAGAACATACTGCTTCTCTCGGGTGTGCTGCTTTTAAAAAACACGATTTCACTGTGAGGTAAATATGTAGGAAGTGTGATTTCCCTAATAGTAGCAGGTGGGACCCATTTTACGCTCTGAACTCCCCAAGGCACACCACACATGGAAGACAATAGCCAAGCTTATTATATGGTCTTTATTATTAAAACATTGCATTTCCAGTCTAGAGAGGTTTCCACCAAAAGCCAAACAACACCAAGCCCATTTCTCAATCAATCAATTATCAGCATTTTCTGAGTATTTACCCAGCACTTCATCTTTGTACCAGTGGGGTCTCACAACAACCCTGTGAGGTAGGCCGGCGCTCCTTCTGTTTCTCCCACTAAAGGAGAAGGCAGGCAAACGTAGTCTTTTGCAGAGGTATACAAATATTTGGTAAAATTAAGAACAAATCTGAGAGGGTGACTGATAAGAAGATCTTTTCATTACAGACATTCATTCTATCCAAGCAGTGGGGGAAAAGAGGAAATGGGGAATTTCTGCATTGCTTCAGGTGGAGAAAGACACTAGGATGCCTGCCATGAAAGAGCCTTAAAAATGATTTTATAAAGTATGAAACGTAGTATTTCACCCCACTTCATAGAACACTTCTCTCTTAACTACGCAGTTTATCTTACTGGATCTAATTGCATCGAAAACAAGCTTTTGACTACATTCTAAAAAGACTAGAAATGAATCAACTCTGTAATTGGCTTATTTATAAATGCAGCTTTGTTTCATACAAAAGGAGCATAAAAGACTATCAGCAAACCAGTTCTTTTCTTTTAACTGAAATTACACATTACTGCTAGATAAATTTTCTGAGACAAGACTTTGATTAAAAAAAAAAAAAAATGTCAGTGGCTCCCCATTGCTTCCTGACTAAAGTTTAAACTCCTTGTTCTAGAGCTGAAAGTGCCAACGTCTTACCTGCCTCTTCAATCTTGCCTTAATTACTAAACTTGACAAACTCTCCGTTAGTCTTCTGTTCTCTAACATGTCATCTTGTCCATGTAATCATAATAGCTCACCCAGCTGGAAGTGACCTTTCCCTCCTCTGAACTTCTACAGACTCAGCTCACCACCCACAAGGAATTCATCATCCTACCGCCTCATTTGTGTGCAAGTCTTACCTACCTTCTGATAGTGAAAGCCAAAGACTATTTACACACACACACACACACACACACACACACACACAGGGAATCTTTATCTCTTCCATTGTCTAGTACAAAAGGTACTTGGAATTATTTGCTAAGTGAAATATACTACGAAGATCTACTATCTGAAGAATCCTTATAATGAATTATTTTATAACACAAATTATCACACCCCCAATTTGGCTTGAGTTTTTGGACACTTGATTTTTTTTTTTAAGCTATACACACCTTGATCATTATCACAGTTTATGTTTTGTACCATCTACGTGACATCCATATTATTTCAAGACTTGGGTAACCTCGAAATGTATAAGGTGGCATTCAGCTTCTACCAAGTTTATATTTTAAATTACAAAAAAGATACCTACACACACACACATACACACACATCTCTCTCTCTCATACACACACACACACACACACACACACACACACACACATATGTATTTATATACATAAAAAAGTTTCGCGATTAGAATCAAGAGACAACCCAACTCCATCAACAGTGCTACGCAAGAGAGAACACAGTCAATAAACGGAGTAACTCATTCATTAGATTTTTTCCCTTCGTTCTCCTATAATTTAATAACATTATTCGCACTGAGCCAGTAAAGAAAGCAAGTGATTTTGAGCAGCAGCAATCTAAAGTGGGCAAGATTTATAAGGCACGAACTCAGTTGCTAAGAGACAACTCCATTGCTTTATTTTTCTTCAATATTTCCCTCCTCTACTGAGAAGTTCTTTGGCTCAGAAGGAGCAGAAAGCGTGAAAAGAAGCACAGTGGCCCTTTGTTAATCTCAGTAAGTTATAGGAGTGTATAGTGCTTTCTGGTTTATAAAAGGCTTTCACATACATTTCTTCCTTTGACATAAGAAACAGAATTAAATACTAAATAAAAGTGAAGAGTACCTTGTCTGTAATGAGTTTGAGTGCTTAAGATCAAGGCTATTAGCAAATATTCAGGCAGAGTAGAGGCTAAAAAAGAAAAAGAAAATGACTAGTTTGTGTGGCGATAAGAGTAATATGTATTTTTAAAAAATTGAAAATAAGGCTAGAAGAGGCACAGTGGAGAAAAATCTACAGAATTTTAGAAAACTGAAGACATTTGAAATTAGATTGGCTAGAGACTGAAATGAGAGGCTAGTGCAGGCGATGAAAGAGTGCAGGACACTGACAAAGGGAGAGCCCTGTGGTTTGGAAAGTGTCCCTTCATCAGCCTGTGGTGCTGCGGAATGGAAACCCAGAAACGGTGCTTGAGAATACACCAGAACCCTGCGGTGGAGACCGAACAAAACGCCGTCAGGGATTTCGTCAGAAGCATAATCCATTCATGGCACTGGCTGGCAAGGCTGGGGAGCCGGTAAGAGACACCCAGGCACCTATGGAACAAAAGAAATATTTGAAGTTCAAAATGATTCTGCTGTTTCTAGCGTGGCTATACAGCAGTGTTTGAGTTTATAGGAGAAGTAGAGTCAGAAGCATAGAAGTCAAAAATAATCTTTACTCAGGAAGAAGACAGCAGTCTTTGAAGAACTCAGGAGGTGATCTGGGCGAAGACCGGAGATACCATGCAATTCTTGATTCCTTGTGATTAACTCTGAATTGCTCACTGTTTGGTAAGAAAAGATTGAAGACCCGTCTGTTTTGCCTAGAAATGAGGAATACTCACTCACACCTGGCCCTATTTCCACTGCTCTGACTGCAGAGCTTAAAAACGTACCATAGACGGGGGCTCCTTACTCTCACGGGGCTATAAGGTTATTCTTGTGCTCTCTTAACCAGGACTCCTCACCCTTTGCACCTGTCGGTACACATATAAATGATAATATTTGAACAAAATGCTGGTGTACATGCTGGGCGCCCCGGGCCCTGATGGCTACCCAG